TTTTTTTTTTTTTTTTTTTTTTGATAATGTGATAGATATTCTTTGTTTATTTTTTTTACATATACAAGTATATAGTTATATTTTTTGAATATTCTTTCACAAGACGAGTATTCAACTTAGATATTCATATATTCATATATTCATATATTCATATATCCATATATATATAGATCGATCGACATATAATGGGTGAAAATGAAAAGGATCAATTGACTGCTTTGTCGGAATCATTACCAACAAAAACATTACATCAATATAAAACATTTAATACTCAATATATTCAATGGTTAACTAAATCAGATAAAAATATTACCACTACTACTTACGATAGTTTGCCTCTATCTTCTATTCTGATACATAGGTTTCTTTTGGATACTATCATTACAAAGACAAAATATTCTAATAAATTATTACCTTTATTAACATCATATATTAATAGTTTTATCTTTTTACAAAAAATTTGTATCATTCATGGTAATAAACAGATTGATATCGATTCAAATTATTTGGATTCGATATTAAATATTCATCAACATTGGTTTGACCTTAACGATGAAGTTTTGAATTTACCAACTTTATCAATTATTTCATTTAACGCTTGGAATCCTTTTACTCCACATTTGAAAAAGACACATTTTAAATCAACTTTAGAAAAATTAAAATTCTTAGTAGATTTCCATTTAATGACTTATTTAGGTGCAAATTATTCAGATAGATCCATGCTAAAAATTCATGATTTAAAATGTAACGATATTAATAAATATCAATTAGTAATTGATAATAATACAAATAATTTAACAAGTTCAAAATTGAAACCACAAAGGCATTTATTGCCTCAGAATTCACCAATGTTATGTCCATTTACCTCTTTAGCAACATATTTGTTTTTCAAATTTTATGGAGTTATCGACAGTTCAAAAGGTGATGGGTTTCCGAATCTGTTTAATGAAGAATTAATATCATCGATGACAATCATTAATGGAAGATTATTATCAAATTATCCAAAAGATTCAACTTTAAATTCGGCTTATATTTCAATGTTTAAATATTGTAATCAACCGTATAAAAGAAAAAATTATTTTGATACTATTGCATTCCCATACCCTGATTTTACACAGGAACAAATCGATCTAATGAATAAAGAATCTAGTTTTATAGATGGAATTCCATTTGATATAACCGCTGTTTTCAATATGAGATCACCATATCAACCTTATAACTCGTTTAATGTTAATGATTTCTTTAAGGAAAGAGGTCAAGTGAAACCACCGGAGTCAATAGTCTTTCAATTCTTCCAAGAGATAGAATTTTATAAGCAACGGAAAAATTATAATAAATTGACCATAGTATCAAGAAACCTCTTGAAGACCTTAGAGATGATTAGGTTGATCTTTGTAGCAAACTTACCAATTATTCATAAAACATTCCCAGATCATGATCTTTTCAAGCATTCAATCTTTGAAAATACCGATATTATATCATTCTTAAATGATTCAATATTCCAAACTAATAATATTTCTAATAAATTTTTGCCTTTGGTGAATTTAAATAATGTAGATGATGAACAACTAATGAAACAATTGATTGAAATGGCTCCATCCAATATCGTCTCACAGCAATCACCTACCGCACTTGCATCTACTACAATGCCAATTCCATCTGTATCTATTAGTGATGATGTATTAGATGAATTTAGAAAACAGAATTTCCAATTTGTTCAATTTCAAACATTATCCAATTTCAAAACATTAATATCATTTTTAACTAAGATTTTCGATAATATGACCATAAAGAGATCCTCGAAGGAAACAATATCTAAACAATTGACATTATTGAACGACTCGATTATTGAAAGGATAAATAATTCCACACCAAAGGATATCAAAGATTACTTTCTGAAGAAAGAATTGATAAGGCATAAAAGTGAACAACTGATTCAATACGATGATGAAAACAACAATAATAATAATAAGAACGATGATAATGTTGATGGTGGAAATGATACCTCGATGATGCTTCCTCAACGTAGGTTGTTATCTGACAGCGACGAATCGGGTGCTTCATCTTTTGATGAGGAAGAACCATTAAGTGATACGGAATCTATGCAAGAAGAATTGAAATCGATGGTGGAAGAATTCGTCACATCTAAAGTTGATAGAATTATTTCTCAACATTTATCCAATTTCGAAAATAAGTTAGATTATATCGTTGATTCATTAGTTGATGAAAAAATTGATAAAAAATTACAAAAGATTGATTTTACAAAATACATACCGAAAAGGAAAATTTCAGATTTGGAGATGAATGAATCTTTAGATGATATACAACCTTTAAAGGTTCACCATACTAATCCATACAAGAAGATAATACAAGAATCAAAATTTACAATTAAGAATACAGATTCTATCTTAACCTCTAATGATTCCCATTCCACTCCAAAACGGACAACCTTAACACCTGAACAGCAACGACAATTCTTTTCCATGAACGAGAATATAACAGACATCGATGATGTAATACTGGAATGGTTTACACCAAATCCAAATATGGGTAACCAATGTGTACATTCTATGAACAAGACTCATGATAAATCATGGAGAACCGAATTCGAATCATTATACAAACAAAGGAAACAAATCGTTGAGTTTTACGTTTATCTAATTAATACAGTAAAATATGATAGGTATAAGGCTATTGATGTTTGTAATGAAATAATGGAAAAAAATCATCTATCAATTAAAGAACTTTCAAAATTTTTGAAAAGCTGGAAAAAGAATCACCTGTCGTCATTCGATGGAATTATTTAATTTATATAGCACTTTTCATATACTATAATATAAACGAAGTGATGAGGAAGCGCTGCTAAAAAAAAAGTAAAATAGATAAATAAATAGATAAGTCAACTAAAGAGTCATATACTATATAATTTACAGAAGTAAATCCATAAAGAACGAGTAAGCATGTTATTATACATTTGGTTGATATTACCTTCATTAATATATTGCCTACCGCCGGACCCATTTCTGGATTCAGAATTTTTAAAGGATCCAGGTGTGTCTCGACAGTTGAACAAATTACCTCCCCTATTGTCGCCGGACCAACTTACAGATGAAACGAGAAGTCTTTCAAAACATTTAGAAAAGGTCCCACAATATATAATAGATAACTGTCCGATGGTACATCTTTATAGCGAAGAAAGATACTGGCCTTCGGATATTACAGATTTTATCAAATATTTTCATTTGGCGGATAAAGATGACAACATATTTGAATTTGAAGATGGTCGTACGAATTTAACCACATTACAAGATCTTCAACAGACGTATGATATAGGAGATAATAGTAAAGGTTCACGAACCATTGATAGTGCTGATCTCTATATGACTACTAATGAGGATTTCTCAAGAAACCCAGATTGGTTAATAGGTCATCGTCCTGAATATGGTACAGGTTTAGTAAAAAAGGGGCCAGCAGTTCTCCTAGTATCTGATAAAGGTAATGGTTGGGTAGATGCTTTTTGGTTCTATTTCTATCCTTTTAACTGGGGACCATATATTATGGGTTATGGACCATGGGGTAATCATATAGGTGATTGGGAACATTCGTTAGTACGTTTCCATATGGGTGAACCGAAATTTCTCTGGATGAGTGCACATTCTGGAGGTACAGCTTATCAATTTGATGCTATTGAAAAAGTGAAGAAATTAAAAAGAGTTGATGGTAAGATTCAAAATGAGATCATAAATCGTCCTTTAATATTTAGTGCAAGAGGGACACATGCTAATTATGCATCCGTTGGGCAATATTCTCACGATGTTCCATTTTTCTTCATGCCTTTAAGTGATTTTACAGATAGAGGACCAATGTGGGATCCCGTAATGAATTTCTACGCATATCAAATAATTGGAGACGCTGTCAGACCGATGAGTGAACGGGAAGAAAAGTTGGGAACAAGTTGGTTATCCTTTGCTGGTACATGGGGTGATAAGCAATTACCAAGTAACGATCCTCGTCAAAAATGGTGTCCTGTTCAATGGCGGTATATCGATGGTCCACTAGGTCCATTATTTAAGAATTTAGAGAGAACGTCGCTTTGTGAAAGTTTCAAAGCGTGGAATGTGTGGCATGGATGTCCACCTAGAAGATGGATCAAGAAAGGGGAAGGTCTGGATGCAGAAAAGAATGATCTTGTAGGCGATAACTGTGGGGTATTACTATATAATATACGACCTAAGTGGTTACGTGGGGTAATGCGGTTCCTGATGTGGAGAGGAACGGTTTGCTTCTTTATGGACTATTTTACAGGTTGAATGTATTTTTAATCTGGGGGATAATGTAGAAGAACACGCCATTCTAAGAATACTATATGCATATTTACATTTTTATTAATCAATGGATGAAATTTTATGTATAATAACTACAACCATGCTACTTTGAAAAAATAGTAGTGCACTACTTATGATAAAAGTACATAATGTTTAGCCTAGTAATGTAAATCATGAATGTCAAGACTACGACATGAGGTAGCTATGTAGTTGTTGTTTTTCTTGCCTATTTGTCAGTCAAATAGTCTTCCTTATTAGACCAGTGTAAAGATAACAGATGAGGAGTAATGGCATACTATTTCGCCTTCAATAATTTAGGTCAGTCAGAGATAGAACTGACGTTCTCTCTGGTTGTGCTAAAATCTGCAATAACTCATCTATTACTAACGCTATCAACAACCACACTATAAATATTTTCTAACGGAGTTCGAGAAATTTAGCCAATCTTCCATTTTTTTCTAGAAGCGTGAAGAATAATCTACGGAACGTCTCAGAAAAGAAAGGAAAAACAGAGATAGAGGGGAAATCCGCGGCGGATCAACTTACGTAAGGTGAACGCGAGGCGTATATGAACTATAATGAAAATGGTAAAGTATGTGAACAATAAGCTCTAAATCGGTTGATAGAATAAGATGGAATAATAAAGAAGAACGTCATTAGGTAAGGTGGCAAAAAGGTGGTAAGTGACATGTTAGTTGTTATCAAGTATATTTTAACGATATAAATATGGGAGATGTGTGGGGTATATTTGAGAAATGAAGTTATTTTTTCCTTATTATATTTTCTGTTACTAGAATAGAAATATGTTCATATATTATCAATAAAGAAGCATAATAACAAACTCACATAAAATTCAAATTCAAAGAAACAAATTAACAATGATGTATAATCCATGTATCTTTGAACAATTACCTATTTTCAACCAACAATTTGGTCAAAGTCAAAATCCATTTACTATTAAACCACAACAACAACAGGTTATTGTTGGTAGTGCTGCTAACGCTAAGAAGGTTCGGTTTACCACTGATGCAACAAAGGAAGGTCTTTTGTTAACTTTAAAGAAACCATTAAGCAATACTAAGGCTTACAAGTTAGAATTGCAAAAACGTATTCTTGATATTAAGAATAAGTATGCTCAGGTACCTAAATATAGTTTAGTGTCTGATGTATGGGGTAATCAATACTATGTTGATGTTACTGCTAATATTCAAGAGAAGATGGTTGAAGAACTCAATTCAATCGATATGAGTAATATCTCAAGAAGACTATCAAAGGAATCCTTCGGTGATTATGAATTAGAATTAAATCATGATGGCAGTGTATTGAATATCACTAGTAAGAAGGATTCTATTGATAAGAATTTACAATTCGGTGGTATATTACAGGATTTCTATGTGAAAACCTGTACTGTAGAAGATGAATCTGTAGCTGTCCTAAAGATTGCTATTGTACTTGATAGATCTTCTATTGTTACTTCTACAACTGATCTTGCCTCAGAAGATTGTTTAGATAACTTAATCAATTGGGCTCAAGAATCTGCCTCTAAAGAAAAAGCTGTTCAACAAAAGAGATATGATCAACTTGTAGGATGTTCTGCTATGAATGATTGTAAGAAAATCCAAAAGAAAAAAGATCAAGAAGAACGTTCAAAGAAGGAACAACTAGAAAAGACTAGAAGAGTTGAGATTAAGAAACAAAAGAAATTAGAACAACTAAAGTTAAGAAGGGAACGTGAACTAGCCGTACAGAAGGAAAGAGAAGCTTATGAAACGAAATTAGTTGAAGAACAAAGAAGAAAAGTTAAAGAAATGGTTAGACAACAAGTTCTTGCTGAAAGGCAAAAAGCCGAACAGCTCGCTGCTGCTAAACAAAATGAAATTGCAGCTGTTGCTGCTGCTGCTGCTAAAGAAGAGGCAAGAAAGCATCGTATTGCTGTTATTGAGCAACAAAGACTAGAGAGTGCAGCTAAGGAATTGGCACAAAGACAAAAGGCTGCTGAACTGGCCAAACAAAGAGCCATTGAAGAGTCGGAACGTTTAAAGAGAGAACAAGTCATACTTGAACAACAGCAATATCAAAAACAACTTGTAGAAGAAGAACGTCAACGTAAAGCTGCCCAATTGTTAGCCGCATCACAAGCAACACCGGTTATTTCACATACGGATAACGAAAGTGATGTTGATGATGATGATTACGATATGGATATTGATAGTGAAAGTGAAAATGGTTCTACGACACTTAGAAAACATTCTTCTCCATTATTAGAAGAAGTAAATGATGAAGAGGTTGATAGATATAATGATTCAGTCAGTCAACGTAAATCATCAAATAACGGCTTTGAGGCAATCATAGAGGATGTGTAGACTAAAATAGCAACAATGAATACAATACTGCATATATTTATACATATATACATTTATACGTTTAAATATAAATATACCAATTAAAAAAAAAATGTTAAAAAAAGTACTATTCATAAATGTTTGTATAAGCCTACTTTAATTAAAAAAAAAAGTGTACGTAGTTAAATTGTTAAATTAGGCTTATTAGTGAAACTCCGAATAGTCTTAAAAGTTGGCCGTATACGACGATTCTATACTTATTATGGTAAATTGAAATAATCTATAAATAGAGCACAAGAGCAAGCCCAAGATCATTTACTACGCAGTTCTCTCTTCCTCTCATAGTTATGTGGCCTTTGAAAATAAAATGTAAATATATATATATGCCGTATCACTCCGCACGACCCGATTCTGTATTTGTAAAAAAAAATATTCACTGCGGATATTACATTTCCAAATCAGGCAACGCAGCCCGGGCTGTACAACAAAAAGATGGAAAAAAGGCCTAATCCTCTCTCGTCCTACTGACAAATAGCAGCAGCATCTGTCTTTTTTCTTTTACCTCTCCAGTGATAACACCCTACAATATTGTTTTTCCCAATTAGGAAGCCACTCTATTTACCAAAAGAGGAGAACTAGTAAAAACCCTGTGGGGCGGCATTCCCAACCAATTTGGGACTGCGTCTGTTTCTTTGTGCATGCGAGATCGCAATAGACGGTAAATCAGAATCCCCCACAGAATTCGGGCAGCAAAGCTAGTCGAAAGGGGGAAAACAGAAAAGAAAATATTTAAATTTTAAATTCAAATTTCCATTTTCTCTTACTTTATTACATTATTATCGTTATTATGATAAATCACAATATTTGGCTTCCGTTTGAGGGAAAATTGATAGAAATCGTTTATGGGAAAGAAGAAGAAGAAAAAATAAGTTATCCCATACCTTTCTCCCTTTTGGGTTTTTGTTTATTATCGTATCGTTAAACGGTTGGAACGTAAGAGATGTCACTCAATAAAAGACCAAGGGTGAGGGAGGAGGGGTCAGATAATTCAATCAACTGAACACTTTTTACTACTTGCAACAATATAAAATTTTATTTATTTATATATATAGATTTATAGGAAATATAGACATAGTTATTCAATAGTTATTCCCTTTTTAGTTGCTATTATTTTCCAGTAATTACCAACTACTTATTCTTTGATATTCCTATAATAAGATTTACATAATATACAAATAAACTAAAAAATTTGAGAAAGAAAGAGATATAGATAAAGCATACTATTTAATTACAAACATTGAAATTTTTTATTTTTCAAGATTATAAATTGATTCTCATCATCGTACAATAATCGTTATTTTTTTACCTCTTCTATTGATCATAAAAGAATATAACATACACATTCTAACATCGATTAGATATTTGTTTGCACTTTTGAAACCCACTCGTTAATTTATATTTGCAATAGTTTTTAAACCTCTTTTTTGTTTGTTTGTTTGTTTTTTACATTTCCTTATTACTCATACCTTCCGGACTAAATTCAGTATTGCAGTGAAAAATATTAACAATAATAATAACAATAGCATTTATTATTAGATCTCCTATAAAGAAAAAAACATTCTTCCTTCTAAATATAAAATTATAATATTATCATCATGGGTTTAAGAAATTTAACAGGACATTATTCTAGTAATACATCTAGTCCTTATACAAATGAAGTCACTGATAGCAACGATAGTCAAGAATTCGAATTTCATAGTCCGAGAATAACTAATCCATTTGCTACAGCTAGTAATAGTAGTGTCGAAGAAATAGAAAATAATAATAATAATAATACTGATAGTAATCCTCAAAGTAACGATTCTTTGTTATCACAAACAAATTCAGAGATACGATATCTTCATCCACAAGATATACAGGCTCATATAGAACAAGATTATAAAGGTCATTATTCTAAGAAACCTCAAACTCTAGGAACTCCTGAAAATAAAGATATTACAGGTAGATTTATACAGACACCACCAACACAAACAATGCAACGACCACCAGTACGTTCCAATAGTGAAAATACATTTATTCAAGCAACTCCTCCTTATGATAGATACCCAGTAGTGAACGCTAGAATGAATTCACAAGCAACAAAACTTAATAATGCTGGTCCATTTTCAGAACATACAAATGTAATAGTTGGATCTCAAGGTTCAGGCCTAAATAATTATTTGAATGAAACAACTGGTTCTACATCTTCTTCTTCTAATTATAATCCAGCTTTGTTACAACCACAAGATTTTTCACCATTCGGTGGATATCCTGCAAGTTCTTTCCCATTGACAATGGATGAAAAAGAAGATGATGATTTCATACATAATCCAGATCCAGAAGAAGAAGCAAGATTAGATAGAAGAAGAATGTGGGATGATATTAAAAATATGAATACTCGTTCTTTCTTTGGGTTGATTGGTATATTAGTACTATTGGGTGCAGGTATTTGTATATTTGTCATTCTTCCAGCATTGACTTTCACAGGTGCGGTACAACATAAGGATCCAGTGGCAGAGAAAGGAGGTCATTCGTCATCGTCATCGTCGGGTTCCGGATCGAACTCAAATGAAATTTTAACTTATTATAGATATCCAACATTAGCTGCAATAAGAATGAATCTTGTAGATCCAGATACTCCATCATCTGCAAAGACTAGGAAGTCAATGGATGGTTCCAGTTGGAAGTTAGTGTTTTCTGATGAATTTAATGCTGAGGGAAGAACATTTTATGATGGTGATGATCAATTTTGGACGGCTCCAGATATTCATTACGATGCAACCAAGGATCTGGAATGGTATGATCCAGATGCAGTCACCACAAAGAATGGTACTCTTCATTTGCGTATGGATGCATTCAGAAATCACGATTTATATTACAGATCAGGTATGTTACAAAGTTGGAATAAATTATGCTTTACTCAAGGTATTTTAGAAGTGTCGGCTAACCTTCCTAACTATGGTAGTGTTACAGGTTTATGGCCAGGTCTATGGACAATGGGTAATTTAGGTAGACCAGGTTACTTGGCCTCAACAGATGGTGTGTGGCCATACTCATACGAATCTTGTGATGCTGGTATCACACCAAATCAAAGTTCCCCAGATGGTATCTCATATTTACCAGGTCAAAAGTTGAATGCTTGTACTTGTGACGGTGAGGATCATCCAAACCCAGGTGTTGGTAGAGGTGCTCCAGAAATTGATATTATTGAAGGTGAAGTTGATACAACTTTAGGTGTAGGTGTTGCTTCCCAATCCATGCAAATTGCTCCATTTGATATTTGGTATATGCCAGATTATGACTTTATTGAAGTTTACAATTTTAGTACAACTAACATGAATACATACGCCGGTGGTCCATTTCAACAGGCTATCTCTGCTATCTCAACTCTAAATACTACGTGGTATGAGTTTGGACAAGAAGCTGGTTATTTCCAGAAATTTGCATTGGAATATTTGAATGATGATGATGATGGTTATGCTCGTTGGTTTGTTGGTGATAATCCAACCTTTACGATATACGCAAACTCATTACACCCGAATGGTAATATTGATTGGAGAAGAATTAGTAAAGAACCAATGTCTATTGTTATGAATTTAGGTATATCCAATAATTGGGCGTATATTGATTGGAGAATGATTTTTTTCCCTGTCCAAATGTCAGTCGATTATGTTAGACTATACCAACCACAAAATGCGATTTCTATCACATGTGATCCCGAAGATTATCCAACCTATGATTATATCGAATCACATAAAGTGGCATATACAAATGCAAATTTGACCCATTGGGTTGATGCAGGTTTTTCTTTCCCAGCAAATGAATTGACCGGAAATTGTAAGAGTAGTAATTTTGAAGGAACTGTTGTACTTGGTGATTAGTATCGTAAAAAGGTGTTAGGCAACAGGATTTGGAAAGGAAATACGGACGATATATTGAGATTAGAAAAGATACCATTGTAATTTATACGTTTCTCGTTCTTACTAAAGTTCGATTTATATTCCAGTAGGCTCATTGGTTTAGTATGAACATGACTAAACAATGACTTCAGGAACTATTGTGATTACTATTTTTTTTTTAATAAATTATTATTTTTTTAAATAACTAGCATACTTAATAAATATTCTTTCAATCTATTGAGGTTGTTGACTGCGATTAATTATTATACTTGACAGAAATTATGTGGAATCAAGATATCTAAAATGTTCAAATAAAAATGAAAGATTACGTAATAATTAGTGTTGTTATATAGCGGCAGACTAAAAAGGCTAACATTAGCTTAACCCATCTGAAGGAGAAGGTAACTAATATAAGTAGAATTTAGAGTGTGCTACACTACCGTACATATAATAACACAAGATATATACTGCATAATGTAGTATTCGTTCCCCCTACATTGTGTTGTGGGAATATTAAGTAGCGATACTTATTATGGTAACAATTCATGAACAGATAGAACATACAAGTATGTTCTATAGCAACTGTTCTAAAAGGATCGCGTGGTCACTAATTATCACGTGACATGTATATTATAATATCGGAAAAACTATTAGAAGATATTTTTCCGATAACGTGCGATGCACATCAAGAAAACTTTTCCTGCGATGAGATGCCCATTGTACATTACTTCATTTATTAAAGAGATACTATCTCCTCGATATATATCTGGGTATCTATCTATATATTTGTAGAGAATCTGAGATAGAGTGTTTGCCTCTATTAGTCTCTTCAAGCTTTACTTTATTTAATTCGGACATTTTTTAATACGATAATCGATCAGTCTCTTTATATTATATATAATTTATAGAACAAATAGAATCTAACTTCGAATGCAAGTTCAGAATTCTTTGTCTTTATATATTTTTTATTCTAATCTCAATTGAGGTTCGAATTATGTTTTGTTTCATAATGCGATTAACTTTGTTTCATGTTGCCACATATTTTGTTTCATATTTTAACACGCTTCATAATAACTGTGCTTAAAGGTAGTTCTTTACCTATTGAAATTAAGTGTTGTGCATATTACTCTTAATTTCTGACAATATTTATAGGATTAGCTTGTATACGACTTTATGTAATAGATTAACGAATAGAAATTATACAAGCAATCTTTATAGAAATGACAATCGTTCCCAATTCTAATTCTATTAGGATCTACTCTCTTGCCAATCTACGTCAACACATTGGGTTTATTGGAGCTATATTGTCCGACATTACTATGCACAAAAGATGAGTAGTTTAACGACAATAACTCTGTATAACATATTGTGGTATAAGCCTTATATTTAAAGGAAATAAACTCTTAAAATAGCAAATTATACTGTGTTAAAAATATCAATGAAATTATTACGTTTTCACTAACTGGGCGGTTAGTGTAGTGGTTATCATCCCACCCTTCCAAGGTGGGGACACGGGTTCGATTCTCGTACCGCTCACTTTTTTGGTAAAATTCCAGATGTTATCGTGTATAATGATCTATATATTTGACTATCAGGTTGTAATTGATTTATCAAAAAGTTCTAAATATTCTCTACATCTTTAGGATTGTTTGATTACTATACACTTACACTTCTCATTTTATAACTATACTTGTTGTTCATTCGTTACTCTGTTTTAATAATATATGTAGGATTGCTTTGTCCACAATAGAAAATTTATTGCGATGGCAAATCGACCTCTTGGACAAACAAATACTAAATCATTCAATATGTGCTTACTATGAAATGCTATATTAAAACTTCTTTAAATTATGTTAATTCAAAGTTCTTGGACGAATAACTAACCCTTAATATCGTGTCATAATACTATGGAAACAATCTCCGATGGAATAAAGTGGAAATATTTTTGTTGCGCGTAATTTGTTTTCCTAAAACGGAAATATATCTGAAAAAAATGCAATATCCACGAAAAACTTTCGAGAATCACAGTTGAAATAATTAATATGTGAATACCTGAAATTTTGACAACATATAATTTTAACGTTTTTTATTGAAAGAACAACATCTAATTACTGTGTTTAATAATTTAACAACGCATTATTTCAGCTACTAAAAAACGAACAAGAATATTGAACACTATTACCATAATAGTAGTATTTATAGCTTTAATTATATATTACGATGTCTTCTCCACTTCCAACAAATAGTCAGAGCGGAAGACCTAATGGTTCATCAGCACTACCATCATCCGTAGGTGCAGGATTCGGTAGTAGTTCTGGTTTCGAAAATGACTCTCAGGTTGGGTCAAGATTGCAGTTTCCAAGTTCCTCACAACCTCAAGGTGCCGTGGCAAATCAGTCCTCTCAATTTAGTTCCCAAAACCAGCCAGATGCAACTGACGAAGATATGCTTCCAATGCAAGGTTTAAGAAGAAGAGCCGTTAATAGAGTCAAGAAAGTTGATGATGTTACAGGTGAAAAGGTCCGTGAGGCCTTCGAACAATTTTTAGAAGATTTTGTTGTTACAGATTCTGAAACATCTACACAGCATAAGGTTTACAGAGCTCAGATTGAATTTATGAAGATGTATGATTTAAACACTATCTATATTGATTATCAACATTTAGCTTCTAGGGAAAATGGAGCCTTGGCCATGGCCATCTCTGAACAGTATTATAGATTTTTACCATTTTTAATCGCTGGTTTAAAGAGAGTGGTAAAGAAATATGCTCCAGAACTTCTAATAACAAGGGATTCTATTAGTAGGCCAAATGGTAACGAAGGGGAAGGGGAGGATACTAATGATTCAACATTCCCAAATACCCAAGTTACAGATAGTAACAGTGACTCTAGGTTAGCTACAAGATCTGGTGGTACTACATCCATTAGTAGTTCTCCGGAACAAACAGAAAGACTACTTCAAATTAGTTTCTTCAATTTGTCTGCAGTGCATAGAATTCGTGATGTTAAATCTGATAAAATTGGCTCATTATTGAGTATCTCTGGTACTGTTACCAGAACATCCGAAGTCCGTCCTGAACTTTTCAAAGCAAGTTTTACATGTGATCTATGTCGTGCGATTGTAGATAATGTTGAACAATACTTTAAATTCACGGAACCAACATTTTGTCCAAATCCAACTTGTGAAAATAGAGCATTCTGGACATTAAATGTTGCCAGATCCAAATTCTTAGATTGGCAAAGAGTTAGAATCCAAGAAAATGCTAATGAAATCCCTAACGGGTCTATGCCAAGAACTTTAGATGTCATTTTAAGAGGTGATTGTGTTGAGAGAGCAAAGCCAGGTGATCGTTGTAAATTCACTGGTACAGATATTGTAGTTCCAGATGTATCTCAACTTGGCCTTCCTGGTGTTAAACCAAGTTCTTCGAGAGATATGAGAGGTATTGCTAGAACATCAGAAGGTCTTAACAGTGGTGTTAGTGGTCTACGATCCTTAGGTGTTCGTGATTTGACATACAAAATGAGTTTTCTTGCCTGTCACGTTATTAGTGTTGGTACTAATATTAATGATCAAACAAACACAGACGGGACCTCTAAGAATAATGCCGACGAAGGTGAGCAGCAAATGACTGCCAGTCTCCAGGGGACAGACGTATACCAAAATGATGAAAGGGATCAAGAAGTTTTCTTGAACAGTTTAAATTCGGAAGAAATTAACGAATTAAAAGAGATGGTGAAGGATGAACACATTTATGACAAGCTGGTAAGATCAATCGCTCCTGCTGTATTTGGTCATGAATCTATAAAGAAAGGTTTATTGCTGCAAATGTTAGGTGGTATCCATAAGAGCACCGTTGAAGGTATCAAATTGAGAGGTGATATTAACATCTGTATTGTTGGTGATCCATCTACCTCTAAGTCGCAGTTCTTAAAATATGTGTGTGGATTTGCTCCCAGGTCTATTTACACATCTGGTAAGGCATCTTCGGCAGCTGGTTTAACAGCAGCTGTTGTTAGAGACGAAGAAGGTGGTGATTATACTATTGAAGCTGGTGCTCTGATGCTAGCGGATAATGGTATCTGTTGTATTGATGAATTTGACAAGATGGATATATCAGATCAAGTTGCTATTCACGAAGCAATGGAACAACAGACTATCTCTATCGCTAAGGCTGGTATTCACGCCACATTGAATGCAAGAACTTCCATCTTAGCAGCTGCTAACCCAATTGGGGGTAGGTATAATAGAAAGTTATCCCTAAGAGGTAACTTAAATATGACTGCACCAATTATGTCAAGATTTGATATGTTTTTTGTTGTCCTTGACGATTGTAATGAAAAAATTGATACAGAACTTGCGGCCCATATTGTGGATTTGCATATGAAGAGAGACGATGCAATTACATCTCCATATAGTAGAGAGCAATTGAGCCGTTACATTAGGTATGCTAGAACATTTAAGCCAATCTTGACCAAGGAAGCTGGGGAATACTTAGTCGAAAAATACAAAGAATTAAGAAAGGATGATGCACAAGGCTACGGTAGATCCAGTTATAGAATAACAGTGAGACAATTGGAAAGTATGGTGAGATTGTCCGAAGCTATCGCACGTGCTAACTGTGTCGATGAGATCACACCAGCATTCGTAGCCGAAGCCTATGATTTGTTGAGACAAAGTATTATTCGTGTTGATGTTGATGATATAGAAGTCCCAGATGATGAGAACGAAGAAGGTCAGAATCAAGGAAATGAAAACAGTGGCTCAGCTGAAACCGTCGAGAGTCAAAACTCCACGGTCACAGCCGCTGCTGCTGTGGCTGCTGCAGTTTCTGGTGAAAATACTGTTAACGCACCCGTAAAGAAGACTGCTATTACATATGAAAAGTATGTTTCCATGATGAATCTTATTGTTCATAAGATTGCAGAATCTGAAAAATCTGATTCTAAAGAATTAACGGCAAATGAAATTGTTGACTGGTATTTAATACAAAAGGAGGATGATCTAAACTCTGAGAGTGAATATTGGGATGAAAGAAAGTTATGTTTCAAAGTATTGAAGAGATTGGTTAAGGATCGTATTCTAATGGAAATTCGCGGAACAAGAGATAATTTACCAGGCGGGAATTTCGATGAAGGTGATTTTGGAAGACCTTCAGCAGAGAGTGATAACCAAAGCGGTGAATCTGTTTATGTTATTCATCCAAATTGTGAGATGTTAGATACTTTGGAACCACAAACTCCGATGGATTGAAAGTTCACCTAGTTATGTACATAATTTAATACATAAAATGTAATATTATTATTCAAAAAAAGAATCATTTTTGAGGATGTCAATAAGACGGAATTAATAGTGAGAAAAAATATGTGTGTTATGTATTTGAAAGCAAAAAAAACCTTTATATACATAGAGAGTAAATGTTACTTATAAGTTGATAATCATAGTCAATAGACGTGTTAGTTTGTTTTGTGAGAGGAATATACTTAAATTTGGAATTCCTTATGTAACATATCGCCTAGTCTCTTTAGACCTTCTCTCAATCTTTCTGGAGAGACGGCAGCATAAGTACCTCTGAAGAAAATTTCATTAGGAGAGTTATTTTCGGTGGAAGACGCTGGTTGAGCAGGAGTTGTATCACCTTCAGTGATGAACCAAGCACCTGGGACGACCAATAGACCACTTTCAATTACTTTTTCGTATAGGTGTTGTTCAACAGCAGCTGGGTTAGACTTGTAAGTAGTGGTAAATTCAGGATGGGTAGAAGCGTCGATATTGACAGTAAAGAACATACCAGCGATAGGTGGGTTGATTGTGAAAGCTGGGGTCTGTGGAACATAGTCGTATAGGGCATCAATAGCGTTGTCACGCTTGATGGCATACTCGTGACGTAGACCTAGTAACCAATCCAAATAACCTTTTTGACCCCATCTGTTCAATAGACCAGAGATCATAGATTGGGAGAAACCAGAAGGAGCTTGAATGGTCATTTCATGAAGAGACAAGTATGGTTTCAGTAGCTTCTTAGAGGCAGAAATCCAACCTAATCTTGTACCTGGAGCAAGGACCTTAGAGAAGGAATCCATTCTAATGACACGACCTTCTGTATCAATAGATAGGAAAGTTTTAGCCAAGGACTTCAAGAATTCATCATGAAGCAAACTGACATTTGCAGCATGTTGTTTTCTTGCGGCTAAATCCTTAATGTATTCACCCATTTGTAAGAAATAATAAGGTTCGTCTTCGATGATTAAGAAATCATGTTTTTGTGCAATTCTATAGATTTCATGTTTTCTATCGTCGTCAAGGGAAGTACCAGTTGGATTTTGACCAGTTGGAATAGTATATAATAATTTTGGTTTCTTAGCACCTTCAGTCCAATTATCTAAGATTTTTTCTAATTTTTCTGGGATAATACCATTTTCATCAATTGGAACAGGGAAAGTAACGACACCTTGAGCTTGAGCAGCTGCCAAAGAAGATGAGAAAGAATGAGCTTCAGCTAGGATGACATCACCACGGTTACAGAAGACTCTCAATGTAGATTCCCAAGCATTAGTATTACCAGCAGTAGCTAGAACATCCCAATCTTCATAATGCATATCATGAATAAGTTTGTTATGTTCTCTTAAGAAATTTAACAATTCCGGTTGACCTTGAGATAAACCGTATTGTAAAGAACGAGCTAATGGGATATCTCCTTCATGAAGCTTTTCTAATTTAGTGATATGAGATTCCATGACATTCTCCCCAGTAATTGGTGCACCGATACCATTTGAGAAAGGAGGTTTTGGAGAATTCACTTCAAGGTCTTGCCAAGGGAAATAATCAGATAATGGTAGACCACCACCTAAGAAGATAATATTTGGATCAGAGAATAAATGAATACATGTTTTCAATGGAGAAGGTTTACGAGCCTTAGTCTCTTCGGAGTATAAGTAGGAGAAATCCTTGGATTCAGGTAAAGCCATTTTTGATGAGGATGTCCTTTGTTCTGATTACAATATTGAGTATGTAAAGTAAATATATAAGAATCAAGTAGAAATTATATAACGCTAATAGAAATGAAAATAAATAAATAAATGTAAGAACCCGAGAACTTATATATATATAATATGATAGGTGCAAATGAATTGAAACAAGAGATAAAATGAGAATATATGACAGAACAATCTTCATTCTTCTCGCCAAGTAAAAATCATTGAGATTTGTAGATTAATTCTGTATATTTCAATCTCTCTCTCTCTCTCTCTCTCTCTCTCTTTACCTTGACAGATTGAAAGAAACTGAAAAATTTCTGTACTTAAAGTGGAAGGATAATAATAATATACACACTTATTATATTTTCCATTTTATTTCAGTTTTCCAGTGCAATTTTAGTCATCGTGCGTCTGTCTGTTTGTGTGTGATTTTATAGAAAAGGAGAGCGAGAGAGAGAGAGAGCAAATATTTTGTTAGCGGTTGCGCTGTTTGTGTGTGTGCGATGAGTAATCGGCTCGTGTCGAGTGATGCTGTTCGGTAATTCACGGGAAGACGATAGCGGATATCGCTTAGTATTAGATAAGATTTAGTTGCTATCTAAATGAAAATGGGGACACAAGATATATAGATAAATAGATAGATAGATACTCAATAGATAGCTAGATAGAATATACCTTGATAACTAGTTGTAATCATTGATAGCTACTATTGTATGTATGTGTATAATGTCAATTTGAAGCCAAAAAGAGGGCGGCGAGAAATGGGTGTATTTACAGAGCCATACGTAATAACAACATATTGTATTCTTGTTTATACTCTAATCATATAATATCTCTAGTGGTAAGGGGCTGAGACTATACGGCAAAGGTTGTTGATCTTGTTGTTGAGGAAAAGATTCTGAGGGGTTATATGTTTGTCTATTTGCCTTAGAAACGTAGATTCATATTGCTATTGGATATATGTGGTAATGGGTGAAATGGTTCATATCACTTAAGATCTCAGTATTTTATATACCATCTAATAGTTGTCTTTGTATGGCCTCAAGTATAGACAAAATGAAGTTTGTTAACTTTGTTGAAGCTCTTAAAGGTCGATATGTAATATAGAACATATTTATATTTTTTTAAGTTTAGTATTCAGTAAAGAATATCCAATATCGTTCTACTGTGTAAACAAAATAAGAAAAGTGATAAAAATTGTATCGACCAAAATACACTTATACTGTGAAAGAGATTAAAGATATATAAGGTGTATCATTCTTTTATAATTCGACAAACTCTCCCTTGACGTTATATAAATATCCTTTAAGAAAAGCTTACATAGAATGAATTTATATATGTATACATTGTACGTTTATCCGAACAAGATCGAGCTGAACATTAAACTCTCAATTCATTCATCAACAAGATATATGAATATTAATTGTATAACCTTGCTAGTAATATATCGTTGTTTATTTGCAAAATAATTACCATCCATACATCTTTTCAATATATAATGATGACAGAAAGACCCTTGCTGATACTACTTATATTAGCCCGGATAATTTAAAACGCGGCGTTTTTTTTCTATTTTTTTAAATTTGGCTCATTTTGACGGTACACATTCATCTCTTTGGTTAATGATTCCAAATAACGTAATTGGCTGATATAATATGTTCATATAATTATATACATATATTCATAAGTCATACATAAGTTTAACTAAAATAATTTCTTTAAAAAAGACAACTGGTAATTTAGGATTTTCAACACTTATAATCAAGGATATAATTAATATTCACAAGTTTTCGTTTTATTTTTGTTGTTGTTGTGAAGAATGCGTCTTACTTTGAGAAGTGCTTACTTCTGGATATATCTTTCAACGGCCATCGTTGCACATGCATTAATTATTCCACAAGACTATGTATCTCAGAAGAATACTCTATTACTTGGACGAGATCATGAGGATGATGATGATGATGATGATGAAACACTGGACTCTGACAGCTTTGAAGTAGACTATAAACAGATTCCAGGTCTTTCGAAGTTAACGGATTTTAAAAGTATTCCGGAAATGTATGCTGGACATATTCCATTATTCGGATGGGATACAGAAGATAAAGAAGTTCCCGAAGATTTCGGTTACTTTTTTTGGAGGTTCCATGATAAGTCGTTACCATGGGAAGATGACGACGACTACGATGACGATGACGATGATGAAGAGAATGACAACAATGAGATGGGGACATTAATCTTTTGGTTGAACGGCGGTCCTGGATGTTCCTCAATGGATGGTGCATTGGTAGAATCTGGCCCATTAAGAATTGACGCTAAAGGGAATGCGTATTTGAACCAGAATTCATGGGCATCTCGTGCAGATATGGTTTTTGTCGATCAACCTGCCGGAACAGGGTTTTCTGCAACTAAAGGAGACTCTAATGGGAATAACATACCATTAGATGATAATTTAGAGGATGTTGCATTACATTTCTGTCAATTTTTAATTAATTACTTTCAAGTGTTTCCTCAAGATATACATAAAAAAATAATTTTGGCCGGGGAAAGTTATGCTGGTCAATATATTCCTCATATCGCTACTGCCATAGTAAACTTTGAACAATATCCTGAATTGAAAAATAATATGCCACATTTTGATTTAGCTGCATTATTGATAGGTAACGGTTGGATTGATCCTGTGACTCAATCATTAGCATATCTACCATTTGCCATTGACAATAATTTGATTAACAAAGATACCCCGGGATTTAATAATTTATTGAATACGCATGAAAATTGTCAAAAGAAGATAAATACAAAAGATGGAAACAATGATGAACAGTTCTCGATTCCTGAATGTGACAATATTATTAACGAATTAATATCTGTAACAAAGACTACAGATGATGATAACAATGAACAATGCTTAAATGTATATAATTATGAGTTAAAGGACTCAATGCCAGCATGTGGTATGAATTGGCCCGCCGATGTTTCCTATGTGGCTCAATTCTTTGGTGACAAGAAAGTAAGGGATGCTCTTCATATCAACGAGGAGTGGGCAGCCGAGAATTGGATCGAATGCCGTAAAGATGTAATGAATCACATGTCCAATAAGGGTTCTAAGCCATCCATACAGTTGTTACCTGACTTGTTAGAGAGTGGTCTAAATGTTGTACTGTTCAACGGTGACAAGGATCTTATCTGTAACAACAGAGGTATTACTGACATGATTAAAAGCATGAAGTGGGGTGACCAATTAGGTTTCTCAGAGGATGCAGAGAATTATGATTGGATATTTAGATCACAACTTAAACGTGATACAGATACTGCAGCCGGTTATGTCATCTACGATAGAAATCTTACCTTTATTAGCGTGTATAATTCATCTCACATGGTTCCACACGATAAACCAGTAATTAGTAGTGGTATTGTTGACATCATTTTAGATAATGTTCTATTAGAATCTATTGGTAAGAGACAAGTCTTGGTAAGTTCTGAAAAACCATATAACGAAGATTTCTTTGACGATGAAGATAATGACGAAACAGAAGAGGATAATGAAAAACCAGAGAAAAGTAAAGAAAACGATGATGATAAAGAAGAAGATTCTCATCGTTACTATTACTACTACTATTATGACCAGGAGGAGGATTATGATGATGACGACGATGACGCGATGATTAGAGTTGATGGTTACGAGAGCCACAAAGGTCTCATTTTTACAGCTTTCTTCATTGTCCTATTTATTGGTATCATCGCCATAAGAACCATTGACCGTTGGTTGCCAAAGGTCACTTCCCAATTTGGAGGTGCATATAGCAGACTTGAGAACAACCCTAACAAAACTGTTACTTGGGCGGATGAGGCCAATCCTCAGATGAATTTCGAATTAGATGATATGAATGCTGAAGAAAATTTCGAAATTGGAGATACAGATGAAGAAGATGGACATGAAAGTAGTAGGGAGAACGGAAGTGATTCTAATTCTGACGTCTCCGAATTAGATATCGGAGAATTATCTGCAAGTCCCGTACATATGGAAGAACAGCAAATATTGAGATCTTCTTAGTCTCTTCGTTTTGAGTTACTAATGTAGAAATTATGTACAAACATTTTTAATCTCATTTCCAGACTTTTTTGTTCCATTTTTGAAGGTAGTACAGTTCAAATAAAAAAATTAATTTTAGGAAGTGAATTAGAGCGTTGAATTAATGCCCTAACAATTGCATTATCTGTATCTTATATATAGCCACCTGTAATTGCAAACATGTAATTAAAGTGTCGTAAGTAGAATGAGGTGTCATTCAGCCATATTAATTCCTGCAATTTATATGTACTATAGGACAGTGCAAGTTTTAACGCACCAACTCGATTATTTACCAGAGCACTTGAGGGCAATTAAGATATCCAAATTGATGGGAACATAGAATATTAGACATCTTCTATTTAACTGAACCAATTTTATTATATTACAAAAACAACTTATAGTCGTCTGATTTCTTCTATCTTATATAAAAATACATAAAGTAAGTTATGGAAACAATTATATTCATGCATGAAATATTGTTCCATTTATATATGTTGGATTTCTCGTTGTTGTGATTATAAACTCACTCGAGGGTGGCGTAAGTAATCTATTATTGAGTTGTTGCTGTTAAATATGTAGCGGCAGCACTAAAAAGGCTAACATTAGCTTAACCTATCTGAAGGTGAAGGTAGCTAATATAAGTAGAATTTAGAGTGTGCTACACTACCGTACATATAATAACACAAGATATATACTGCATAATGTAGTATTCGTTCCCCCTATATTGGGTTTATTGGAGCTACATTGTCCAACATTACTATGCACAAAAGATGATCAGTTTAACAACAGCAACTCTGTTTAACATTGACAATTTGTGTCAACAGATAATACATGTTTTCAATTTCTAGGCAAAATTAATTTAAAATTATAACTAACAGACAAACTAAATATTTCCAGAAATATATAACTAATATATGCCATCTTAGTATAATGGTTAGTACACATCGTTGTGGCCGATGAAATCCTAGTTCGATTCCAGGAGGTGGCACATTTTTTAGTTTGTTTAACAAAATTATCCCGCTAAAGTGGAAAAGTTTTGTGAAACTAGTTTTTTTTGAATGAAAGGGCTTCAATTAGGAGCAGTAAGTGATTATTAAATTACGTATTAATTTTCATTTTGAACAACTTTATTTTATTATTGAGAAGGTACTGTTTATTTTAATACAAAATTCTATTAAATATAATAAAAACATTAAATTTTTATATATCATGTTAAAGAGCCTAGAAAGTTTAGTAAGAAGAATAATCTAATGACAAAATCTTGATGGACCTTTTTTTTTTGGTCAAACATATTTATTGTGCTTAATTATCATCTGCTTTCCACTGCCATGGAACCAATAAATAGCTAATCATTTCTTCAAGATTTCATTGTAATTTCTTTATTTTATCAAATAAATATATGTATATCACCATGGATTGTTTAAATTCATTAACATATATGTTACTTTTCATTAAAACTCACTACCTTAATCCCGAAACTTATTATTACAAATTCAAATATAGTAATCATAATATGTACAAAGTTGAAAATGATAATGATAATAATATGTGCAAAAGATATATTTAAAGATATAAAATGAAAAATAAAGATACTTGAATGAATGAACAATAAAATATTCTTTTCTATTTTCCTTTCTNCCCCAAAAAAAAAAAAAATAAAAAAGTATGTCACAAAGATTTTACACTTTCAAAATAACTTATTTGTTGTTTTCAGGAGATTATGGCTTTGGAATCTTTAGACTCTTAGAGATCATACCACAACCGTGGATAAAGAATACCATGATAAATGGATGAAATTCACCAATTAATCCATCTCTAATGATACCAAATGGTAAATTTGTCATAATCATATTTTCTCTAACTAAATATGCCATAATAAGCACCAATAATAATGTTGTTGGCATAGGTAAACCTTCGAAATATTTAGATTTACCTTTGACATCCTTTGGTAATTGACCGACGGTAACGTTAAATCTTGCTAATCTTGTTAGACCACATAGCACAAAGAATGATAACACCACAACATCCAAAGTGGTTTGGAAGCCGATGGCAAATGCAATAGAAGCTGGAGCCACACCAAAGGAGACCAAATCAGCTAATGAATCTAATTCTTGGCCCATCAAAGAGGATCTATTTCTTAATCTAGCAACACGACCATCTAAGAAATCAAAGCACATACCTAGAATAATGAAAAAATGAGCACGTTGTACATAATGAGGTTTTCCAGTCAAAGTAAATCTTAAACAACTTACAATAGAGTAAAACCCAGAGAAACCATTTAGCATAGTAATGTAATCTGCCATATGTAAGTTTCTAATCATGCTGAAGTGATATTTATCGGAAGTGAAAGCTTCGATATCATTTCTATTAGGTGGAGCTAGAGGTTTAGTATCAATAGAGAATATACTAGATGCCTTTCTGCTCAATACTCTTTCAACATCATCATCTTGTTCTTCTTCAGTATCGCTATCACTGTCGTTACTTATAGAAAATCTATGCTTTCTCTCATGTTCCAGTGGATTTAATAAAGCTTCTCTCTCGTCTGCACTAACCATTTTTTTTTGTATTTCTTATAAATTGTAATATTCAATATGTGTAATACTTTTATTTATTTATTATAAATACCAAATAATAAAGAATCACAAAAGTCTGATAATATAGAATAAAAAAGAGAATTGTTGTGTATTCATCCAACTGTTTATATATATATAATAAAGGTATTAAAAATTCTACCCTCATCATCCCTTGGGTAAATAAATAAATAACGTATAAACTAGCGACCGAACAGAAAAATTATCACATTCACGGCGCTGAAAGAGACTACAACGACACGGCGCTGTTGTCATAATTTCTTCGCATTATTTTGGATTGGCGAAGCGGATTGAATTTTCTTATGTGATTCATTACCAATTTGGTGCGCAATGTGTATTTTCTCTAAGACCATGAGAATAACGTATGGTACATCGAGACGATTGCCAGTCGTATGTAGGAAGAGTGGTGACAATGAATATAACGCTCGAATGGGAAATTACTCTTCCCCTGTAGATGACAGCTCTAAAGGCGATTGGGTTCAGGTTGTCTTGTACGACGACTCAAACTAAACTGATAAACATTCTACTTGAAACATTAAAGAATTTTATTTTGTTATTTTAAATAGACTATTCATAATATGTTATACAGTTTTGAAAAAAACACAGAGAAAGAACAGTTTTATCAACGATGAGTAGATAAATTCTATTCTTTAATTCTAAAAGGGGGCAAAAAAGAGGAAGAGAGACTAGTTAGATGGGGAAGGTAAAAATGATAACAATAGGCCACCTGCTCTTCATCAAGTCATTAGGAAAAAGGAATAGTTTTAATACTTAAGATGAAAAAGATTATTCCCTGGAAAGCATAGATGTTAATGCCATATAATAAGGTGGGATACCAGCTCCATTGGTTTCCTGAGGATTATTCTTAACGACTTCGTTGAAGTAATTATGATAAATATCTCCGTCGAAGAATCCGATTGGTGCGTTCAACATATTGTCTGGCAATTCGAAGGCATCAGATAAAGCTATACAATCTGTTCTGATGAGTGCCATAAGTTTGAACAATTTTGGTTGGATCACGTTTGAGATATCGTCAGCTTTGAACAATTTCAATTGTAAGAATTCACCAGAGTATTTGTCTATATAATAGACAGAGAATAAACGGAAAATATTCCACATGGTGGCCTTTGTATTATCATCAGTGATATATGATTCTTTTTCATTTTCCAATTTTTCATGGAATGTCTTCAACATTAAATAAATTGCATGGAATCTTGAAATTTGAACCAATAGTTTTGATAAACTGTTAATATCGTTATTTTTTTTCAATACTTTACCAATGTGTACAAGAGACTTAACCAAAAGTATTGCCCACACTTGAATAAAACTTTCTAAATCCGAATCATCATTAATATCTGCTGTAACTTGATTAGTATAGACTTCAGCAATAAAGCTTGGATCTAAATAACCAAATTCATCACCATCAAGGTTTGAATCAAATTTACCCTTCTGTGCTGCATCACCAAACTTCTTTAAGATAGATTTAGCTGAAGTCAAAGAAAGTACAGTATTATCACCTTCCCATGTACATTGAACTACCCAATCGTTATAACCTTTACCAAAAGCATTGTATTGAGAATAACCATGACCACCACAAGTTTGTCTTAATTCATCGATTAATTGTGCAACAAACCATGTGTTAGTAGCCTTTAAACTAGCACTTGAGATAAATAGATTTTTTAATTTAGCACTAACAATGACCAATGCATCATTATCCTTTGCTGTTGAGACATGATATAATTCATCTAAAGTTTTATAGTAAGTATCCATTAATTTGAATGCAACAGGAGAAATTAAATAAACAAGTGCTAATTGAGGAATAATTCTATATTGATGTAAAGGATAATTAATCAATTGAACTTCTTCTTGATTTGAATTTTTTCCATCCTTTGTTTGAGGAGCAAATTGTTGTCTACCAACAGCGTATCTAGTAGCAATTGTAGCAAATTTAGCTCCAAATCTAAAAGAATCCATAACCATATTGACACGACCACTTAGCAAAGCACTATAGCCAGAGATTTGATCTAATTGTGGTTGTACTTTAACTTTTACGTCACCATTACCGTTATTAGTTACTTGAATAAATCTACAAAGCATATTTTCCTTTGGAATCACTACATCATTAAATTGAATCCAACCATTATCAATCCCATCTCTACCCATTTTAGCTCCAATATCACCAATAACTACACCTGTTTCTAATTGGAAAGTCTTTGTATTTCTTAATGGAACTACAAATGTCTTAACACCATAATCTTTTCCCTTAATAATAAGTCTTGCATATACAACAGAATGAGTAGCAGAATGAGCTGCACCACCAATCCACCATTTTGTAGCAGTTAAATTTGGTGTATTAATTGTAAAAGTATTATTTGATTCATTAAAAATTGCAGTAGTTTGTAATTGACCTACATTAGAACCATGACCTAATTCAGTCATTGCAAAACAACCATAGATACCACGCATCATAGCAGCACCACGTTCTTGTAACCAATAAGTGATTTGTTCATCAGTACCATTCCCTTTAATACAATTACCAAATAAACCAAGATGAACACCAACACGAGTACTTAATTGAGGATCAATATTAGCAATTAAAGAAAGTCTCTTATCAAAAATTGTAAAATCTGAACTTTGTAATAAAGGTTCATTACCATTATTTTTTTGTAAATCTTGAATTAAATTTTTATTTTCAAAATTATTACGTGCAGTTTTAATATCGTGTTCCATATATAATGCTAATCTTGCAATTTTATTAGCAGTTATTTCACGTTGTTGTGATTTATTTAAATCATAATAAGATGTATCTGTTTCTAATACTCTATCATTAGTAATTTCTCGAATTAATCTATGAGTTAGATCACGTCTCTCCGGTGTTGATTCCAAAAAAGTATTAATTTGATCAATTTTCAATTTTGATGTAGTACGTTCCTTTTGAATGAATTTCGCAGGATTAAATACTGGATTGGTCTGATCATTAGAAGATATTTTAGTCATTGTAACAATAAATATTGATATATGTATACCTATCTCTACAGAAAACAACAACAACAAAAAGCAATAAAATAATATATATATATATATATATATATATAAATTGTATATCCAGAGAAAAGCTAACAAAAACAAATACACAAACTTGAAAGCTTTTGTGATTTATATATCACAAAATAAATTTCAGAATCAAGTAAAATATATAAAGTTGCTTCATTTTTTGGATCTAATGATTAAAAATAACGTATTAAAACCATCTCCAATTTTCTATACCCCACCCTTATTTCCTAAAGCCTAAGTAAGTAAAATAAGCACAGACACTAAACTTCTCTCCAATAAACGGTCGGCGGCTGTCAGTTTCTCCAATTTTAAAAAAAATCGTCTTTTTAATTTTAATTGTTTTTGGAGCGCCGCACTCATTTTCTCACATACAAAATGCAAATTGTAAATTATTTTATCAGAGAGGCTCACTGAGAGTGACAGGACGAAGAACTTAATTCCGATGGAGAGGTCAGTGTGGGAAAGAGTGAGAGAAGTCATTAACTCCGAGTATCACTCCAATACTAATAACGTATATTCATAAGATATATCAGAGAAAAAAGAATATTTTCATATTATGTAATACGTATTTGATGGTCACGGGATTTTCATCAATTGAAGGGAGGGCATTACCCTCATCGTTATCATTTGGCTTTTTTAATGACCTGCCCATAATATTAGATACAGGCGGCTATTTCCAAATAATAACTTTCTCGTTAACTCTTATATTCACAATATACATATATAAACTAGTATAACCAAAATATAACTAGAAAATGGAATTCCTTAGTAGAAACGGATTCAAATGGTTTATCCAAAGTCAGCTGTAATTTTTCTTTTGCTTTTCTAAAATTGAAAGGAGCCTCTCTATGTACATAGATTAAGGATTACAAAGAAACTTTAACAATAAATTACTAAGTATTCCCTATGAACTAAATAGTTAAAAAGGATAGCTTAATAGTTCAATTATACCTATTTTTTGGTTTACTTTAAGTCGAATGGTAACGTAGCTTTAAGTCTCAAATTAGTGAAAGAAACAAATTTAATTGGTTCTGACACGTGATTTGGTTGGGTGTTTGTTACCCTCATGTTCACGTTTTTTTCCCTTTCCTTTCAGTTCAATTCGGTTTCGTTAGATATATTCTTTTTCCATTCGCCGCCCCCCCTATTCTGAACACCGCGACAAGAATATAGTTTTGAACGACACGGGTCGCATAGAGGAAATCAGTTTTTGCTTACAATTAAACTGAAACAGAAACAGCACACGGAATAAAACTAAAATATGTTATATGCTGTCGCAGTAAGGAATATTCACTGATTATGTTCTTACCAAAAATTATACGCCAGCAAACAACTTTACATGCGGTTTCGAATTTGTGAATTGTTCAAGAAAAGTGAAAACAAATATAGACAAGTTTAAATTTAGAAAGAAAAGATATTATCATTATTATTATTTAATAATAATATTTAGAAGTTTTGATTTATTAGAATACTTTCATTTGTAACCACTCAACTGACACAACACTCACAATTATATTATTTCACCCCTCGTTATAATGAGTGATTTGCCAATTGAATTCACTGAACTGGTGGATCTGACATCATTAGGGATTTCCCCTCAATCCCTTGACTTTAGATCAACTACATTCGAAAGTGACCATTATGTCACCGTTCGTGAAACTACCGATGGAAACAATTCCGTAGCTATCGTAGATCTAACAAACAATAATGAAGTTACAAGGAAAAATATGGGTGGTGATTCTGCAATCATGCATCCTTCTCAAAATGTTATCTGTGTTAGAGCTAATGGTACAATTGTCCAAATTTTCAACTTGGAAACTAAGACTAAATTAAAGAGTTTTACTTTGGATGAACCGGTAATCTTCTGGAAGTGGCTTGATGATGAATCTTTGGGTTTTGTTACCGCTAGATCTATCCTTATCTCTCAAGTCTTTGATGGGAATGTTAATGCAAAGCCAACAACTTTAACAATGAGACATGCTAATTTAAATAACACTCAAATCATCAATTTTGTAGCAAATAAGAAACGTGATTGGTTTGCAGTAGTTGGGATTCTTCAAGAGAATGGTCGTATTGGTGGTAAAATCCAATTATATTCTAAACAACGTAATATTTCTCAAGCAATTGATGGTCATGTCGCCATTTTCTCCGAAATCATCCTAGAAGGTAATGGATCCTCACCTGTTCAAGTCTTTGTTACAGGTAATAGAAATGCTACCTCAGGTGTAGGTGAATTGAGAATGATAGAAATCGATCACGATCAAAACGTTCCAGTTCAATATCAAAAAAATACTAGCGATATTTTCTTCCCACCTGATGCTACAAATGATTTCCCAATTGCTGTTCAAGTTTCCGAGAAATATGGTATAGTCTATCTATTGACTAAATATGGTTTCATCCATCTATATGAATTATCTACTGGTACTAACTTGTTTGTTAATAGAATTACAGCTGAATCTGTCTTTACAGCTACCTCTTATGATAACAAGAATGGTATTGCCTGTATTAACAAGAAGGGTCAAGTGCTATCTGTCGAGATTGCCACTTCTCAAATCGTTCCATACATTTTGAACAAATTATCCAATGTGTCTCTAGCTTTAACTGTGGCTACTAGAGGTGGTTTACCAGGTGCAGATGATCTATTAAGTAAACAATTCGAATCATTATTGGCTCAAAATGATTATCAAAATGCTGCAAAGGTTGCTGCCTCCTCACAATCTCTAAGGAATCAAAACACCATTAATAGATTGAAGAATGTTCAAGCTGCTCCTGGCGCAATATCTCCAATTTTACTGTATTTCTCCACTTTATTAGATAAAGGTAAACTAAACAAAGAAGAAACTATTGAATTGGCTAGACCTGTCCTACAACAAGATAGAAAACAATTATTCGAGAAATGGTTGAAAGAAGATAAATTAGAATGTTCGGAACAATTAGGTGATATTGTAAAACCATTCGATACCACATTAGCTTTGGCTTGTTACTTAAGAGCCAATGTCCACGCAAAGGTCATTTCCTCGTTGGCAGATTTGCAACAATTTGATAAGATTCTTCCATATTGTGAAAAGGCTAATTATCAACCAAATTTTATTGTCTTAATCTCTACTATTATTAGCTCTTCTCCAGACAGAGCTTCTGAGTTTGCCCAATCTTTGTTGCAAAACCCAGAAGTTGCTGCTCAATTGGATATTGAAAAGGTTGCCGATTTGTTCTTCTCTCAAAACCATATTCAACAAGGTACTTCTTTGTTACTAGATGCACTAAAGGGTGATACACCAGACCAAGGTCACTTACAGACACGTGTGCTAGAAGTTAACTTACTACATGCCCCACAAGTTGCCGATGCCATTTTGGGTAACAATATCTTCTCTCATTATGACAAACCAACAATTGCTTCTTTAGCTGAAAAGGCTGGTTTATTCCAAAGAGCTCTAGAAAATTATACCGACATTACTGATATCAAAAGATGTATTACACATACAAATGCTCTTCCAATTGACTGGTTAGTAGGTTACTTCGGTAAATTAAACGTTGAACAATCGTTGACTTGTCTGAAGGCCCTAATGGATGATAATTTGAAGGCCAACATTCAAATTGTTGTACAAGTTGCAACTAAGTTTACTGATTTGATAGGTTCAGCTACTTTGATTAAATTATTTGAAGAGTACAATGCTACCGAAGGGTTATACTATTACTTGGCTTCATTAGTTAACTTAACAGAAGATCCAGATGTAGTTTTCAAGTACATTGAAGCATCCTCCAAAATGTCTCAATTCAACGAAGTCGAGAGAATTGTTAGAGACAACAATGTTTACAATCCTGAAAGAGTTAAGAACTTTTTAAAAGACGCAAACTTGGAAAATCAATTGCCATTCATCATTGTTTGTGATCGTCACGATTTTGTCCATGAGATGGTCTTACACTTGTATAAGACTCAGAACATGAAGTACATTGAAACATATGTCCAACAAGTCAATCCATCCAAAACTCCTCAAGTTGTTGGTGCTCTATTAGATATGGACTGCGATGAAAAATTCATCCAAGATTTATTACAATCTGTACTTGGCCAAGTTCCAGTTGGTGAATTGACTACCGAGGTTGAAAAGAGAAACAGATTGAAATTACTATTGCCATTCCTTGAAAAGACTCTGGAATCTGGTACCCAAGACCAAGGTGTTTACAATGCACTAGCCAAAATTTACATTGATTCGAATAATTCTCCAGAAACCTTCTTGAAGGAGAATGACAAGTACGACACTTTAGATGTTGGTCGTTATTGTGAAAAGAGAGATCCATATTTGGCTTATATTGCCTACGAGAAAGGTTCTAATGATGACGACTTGATCAGAATCACCAATGAAAATAGTATGTACAAGTACCAAGCAAGATACTTATTGAAACGTTCCGATCCACAACTATGGAATAAGGTTCTAGACAGCGAAAATATTCACAGACGTCAATTGATTGATTCTGTTATCTCTGTTGGTATTCCTGAGTTAACTGACCCAGAACCGGTCTCCCTTACTGTCCAAGCTTTCATGAACAACGATTTGAAGCTAGAACTAATCGAACTTTTGGAAAAGATTATTTTGGAGCCTTCTCCATTTAACGATAATGTTGCTTTGCAAGGTCTGCTACTTCTTTCTGCTATTAAGTATGAACCAACCAAGGTCTCTACTTACATCGAAAAGTTGGACAAGTATGATGCTGATGAAATTGCCCAATTATGTATTGAACATAGCCTAAACGAAGAAGCGTTTGAAATCTATAATAAACATGAAATGTTTGATAAGGCTCTGCAAGTATTAATTGAAAATGTCATGTCGCTTGATAGAGCTGCCACTTATGCTGATAAGATAAATACACCAGAAATCTGGTCTCAACTAGGTACTGCTCAACTGGATGGTCTACGTATTCAAGAATCCATCAATTCTTACATTAAGGCTGAAGATCCATCCAACTACGAAAATGTTATTGACATTGCCGAGCAAGCTGAAAAGTTTGAAGAATTGATTCCATATCTACTGATGGCCAGAAAGACTAGAAAGGAAAGCAAAATTGATGGTTCGTTAATATTAGCTTATGCCCATTTGGACCAAATCCATGAGATTGAAAACATCATTTCAGGTTCTACCGTGGCTAATCTCGATATTGTTGGTGACAAGCTATTAGAGGCTAAGAACTACAAAGCTGCAAATATATGTTTTGCTGCTGTTTCCAACTACTCCAAGCTAGCATCGACCCTTGTATATCTAGGTGATTACCAAGCTGCTGTGGATACAGCCAGAAAAGCTTCCAACATCAAGGTCTGGAAATTAGTCAATGATGCTTGTATCGATAAAAAGGAATTTAGACTTGCCCAAATTTGTGGTTTGAACTTAATCGTTCACGCGGAGGAACTAGAAGCCCTAGTTAATAAATATGAATCCAATGGCTACTTCGAAGAATTGATATCGCTATTTGAAGCTGGCCTAGGGTTAGAAAGAGCTCACATGGGTATGTTTACCGAATTAGCTATCTTGTACTCCAAGTATGACACATCCAAAACTTATGAACACTTAAAATTGTTCTGGTCCAGACTAAATATTCCAAAGGTTATAAGAGCTGTTGAAGAGGCTCACTTATGGAACGAACTTGTTTTCTTATATGCTCATTATGATGAGTGGGATAATGCTGCTTTAACCATGATTGAAAAATCTGCAGCTGGTTTTGATCATGGCTATTTCAAGGAAGTTATTGTTAAAGTTGCCAACTTGGAAATTTACTTCAAGGCTATTAATTTTTACGTTAAGGAACACCCTACATTATTAGTAGATCTATTAGCTGCTCTTACACCAAGATTAGATATCCCAAGAACTGTTAAATTATTTACCAGCTCTGATAACCTTCCATTGATAAAACCATTTTTGATTAATGTCCTTCAAAGAAATAACTCTGTCGTTAACCAAGCATACCACGATTTAATGATCGAAGAAGAAGACTATAAAGCTCTTCAAGATGCTGTTGATTCATACGATAAATTCGATCAACTTGGCTTAGCTGCAAGATTAGAGAAGAATAATCTAATTTTCTTCAGAAAGATTGCTGCTATGCTGTACCGTAGAAACAAGAAGTGGGCCAAGGCTCTGGCTATCCTAAAGGAGGACAAACTATGGAAGGATACCATTGAAACTGCTGCTATCTCACAAGATACTAAGGTTGTGGAAGAACTTATTACATACTTCGTCGAGACTGACAATAAAGAATCATTCGTTGCTTTATTGTACGCCGCATACAACTTAATCGACTTCGATTTTGTATTGGAAATTTCGTGGTTAAATAAATTGGATGATTACATCAGACCATACGATATCTCTATCAGAAAGGAACAAAACGACAAGATCAGCAAGTTATCTGAAAAACTTTCAAATGGTAAGAATGACAACGATGATGATGCTAGGGATGGACAACCTTTAATGTTAATGAATAGTGCTATGAACATGCAACAAACCGGTTACTAATTCTGAAAACTTTCTATATATCTCCCCGGTTTTGATCATTTTCGGGAGAATTCTATTATGTGAGATCTGTGTAGTTTATCTGAGGGGATTTACTATATGACATCTCTATAATTAAATAGAAAGGATATTCTCGAATTTCTCTTTATCAACTCATTCTTAATATAAGTTATGTATTTTTATATTTTTCTTTTAACTATAATGTATGATATTAAAATCTTATCAACATAATATACAACAAATTCATTACTATATAAGCGAAGAAACCCTATCGATTTCCTCCTTTTTAGTATATATTCAAAATTATTAAAAATATCACGCTTTGAAAAATTAAACAACCATCAATCTTTGAAATTACCACCACGGTCAGCGTTAGCAGCCTTTTTTTCCAAATCATCCCAGTCATCACCTTCTTCCTCGCTGTCGTCCCCACTATATTCTTCACTTCCTTCGTCACTCATACTAGCTTCATCAGAATTGTCTTCAGAATAATCACTTTCATCTTCAGGTTCTTCTTCAGATGCTTCGTACTCACTTATTTCTTCTTCACTTTCATCGGAAGCTTCATCATCAGATCCAGTTGCCAAAAATGTCCAACCACCATCCAAGAAAAATTGGTGTGGATCATCTTGAATAGATTTCATAATAGTACCCCAATTCAGATTGATTGTAGAGACAGTGTATGGAATATCCATATCAGTTAACCATTGCTTAACAAAATCTAGTGATTCTATTGGAATTGTGTTTATGTGAGTTACTGGTTTTGTAATATCCTTATAGGCAAACACCATATCAAAATTCTTTAGACCGAATTGAACCCTTTCAAGGATACAAATCTCAATTTCTTCAAGGTTAACCACCATGAAAGGTGGTTCAACTAATTGGACCAGACAGTCCGTAGTTGGCATACAATAAACTGCTGATCTGTTTGGAACACCCTGGAAACCCAAATCTCTAAACGTACTTTCAACTGTGACTAGACCTCTTGAAGCCTCGGCGATAGCATCCGCAAAATATTTAAATTCTTTATCAAGAGCGGCACGCTTTCTTCTTTCCTCTTGTTCTTGCTCTAGTTCATCTTCATCGCCGTATCTTCTGAACTTGTTCATACCACGCTTACCAGTACCAGTTTCATCAACGGACATATCAGAAGCTTCACGATAGAATTGCACATCTTGTATCTTCTTTTTGCCCATCATGATAGGATTTTTCAAATGAACGTGGATAATAACAATTAATTCACCTTTACAGGATTGGAAAACTAAATTCTTGATATTAGAAAACAGAATATCAATTCTAGAATCAGTCCTCAAAGGCGATTGATATCTAATACCATTTTCATGTATGAAAACAGTACTTGGAACACGCTTTGTATCTGGACTTGGTCTAACAAAAATTTGATCGAGTCTCTTTGTCCTACCGGTCTTATTTTCGATCAGTTTATCTTGATGAACAACATCAGCAAGAGCTTTCCTCTCTTGGTCTCTTTTGGTCGATTCTTTCTTCAAATCAGCAATTTGCTTGAAAGTGTCACTTATACGATCGCCATCCTTGGATCTTACTGTAATGGAACGTACAAATTGATTTTCAGGTGAGTCATCATATGGTAGTTCAATAACCTTTTTCGAAATACCACCAGCTGAACCGGGTGCATGGAAGTTCAAACGCAAGTATGTGTATTCACCTTCCTCATTCTTGGAACCATTCTTATAGGAATTGATATGAAATGGAACCGGTCTACCATAAATTGGAATAATTATAGTTTGAGTTTTCCAGTCAACATGTATTCTTAAATCACGAACATTATTTGGAATCTGTGATTCATGCACATAAGATTCATATTTCTTAAAATATGGCTGAGTTTCTTTCCCTGTGACACTTGCGTCTGCTTCGGAATATCTGATTAAACCATCCTTTTGTAATTTTTCATGTAACTTTCTTTGATTCTCCTTACGAATTTGCTCTTTTTGAGCATCATCTGATCCTGCTCTGCCATCTCCACGCAATTTTGTTCTTAAGATCTTAGAGTTCCTATCTTGAGCAGCAGAATTGACAGGTACTGCTGGCTTCTTTTTGGCCTTTTCATCATCTTCTTCATTGTTGAAGAAGAAAGAAATCTGAGTACGTACCTTAGTAGAAGCTGTTAGGACCTTGGCAGTTGGGGTAGGATCATTAGATAATTGCACTGTATCAGCCAAGGCAAGTGCGTATATTCTACCCGATTTAGAGTCCTTTAATCCATTAAATCCAAATGATATGTTAAAACATTGTCCACCAGTAACTGTACGTTTTTCATTCTTGGTATTCAAAATAAAACAAGAGTCTCTAAATTCTAAACCAATCATGAAACCAATGTTCTTGGTAAAATGTTGAGAAAGTTCTGGACGTTTTTCTTTTATATATTCAACAGTTTCATTATAAATTTGAGCTGGTGTCTTACCTTTCTTTATAATTCGGGTTACAATTTGTTCTTGCAATTCTAACATGAAGTCATAATTATTTATCATTTCTTCGGATGGATCAATTAAAAACGTTCTCGTAATATTAGAACAATAGTTACTGTAACGGATACCACATGATGCCAAAATACAACCATTGCCATATAATTGATCATTATTTGAACGGGCTGATACTTTCAAATCAAAAGACTCACCGGACTGAATAATTGGAGAATAAGTCCATTCCAGATATTCAGAAGAATACTTTTGGCCCGATGGACAGAGAGATCCAACATTAGAGCCTAGCTTAGCCGTAAACTTATCATCTTCAATTTTATCTTCAATTCTATCAGATAATTGGGCGTTTGTAATTTTCAGTTCTTCATCAACTGCACGAACCATTTCATCGGATAAGAAATCCATGAATAGATCAGAACATTTGCTTGCTACAGAAAGCAAAGCTTGTTCAGTTTTGTCCTTGCTTTCCCATAGAGTTGATAGACCATTGGAGACATCCACAAATGTAAAATTATTCTCTTTTACTGCAGCATCCCAAAGAGGGTTCCATTCATTAATAAATTTCCCTTCGAAGGAGTCTTTTTGCAAAATACCTACTGTAGTACCTGCTTCCTTGATAGAGTTAATGACGTTATCAAACAATCCTTTGTTATGAGCAGGCTCCTGATTTTGTCTTTCTAAAATTTCAAACTTAAATCCATCCTCTTGTTCATTGAAATGATCCAATGCTTTATGGATATGTCTAGCTTTGCTTGCGTTTGTAATTACAACCACTCTTTTAGGTAAGAATGCAATTAATGTTGCTGGATATTCATAACCAATAAGCCAGTCCTGTAAAATTGTAGTCTTTTGGTATGGATTATCAGTTTTTCTTGAACCAGATACAAACAACAATGAGTTTGGGGAGCCTTCAAATTTCTGGTAATTTGATTGAACAGAAATAACTCTCTCTCTGAGTTTGTCAAAATCAATGTATAATTCGTCCATTTTCAAGGTATTGCCGTTTCACCGTATTTCTAACGATATTCGACACAATATAATTTGGTTTTCTAGAAACAAAAAGAATTTCTATAAATCTAATGGTTAAAAATTTAAAGATTACGAAATAATATTTCTGAGTAAGCCTTAAAAATGATTTTTAAATGACGAATATGGTGTAAGTTTTAACTCATCTAGGTTAAGTAATGTGGTTTAACCTACGACCATCTCGTACTCTCAAAGTATTTTTCACCGTACGTTAATCAAAACGCGTAAAATTGAATGAAATATATGAAATTTTCGCCTAAAAACATTCTGAGAAAGGGAGGGTAAGTTTTGTTCGTTGAAAATGATAACATAATACATGATGCTCTATTGAATCGCAATGTAGGGTAATTGAACCAGATGAGGGAAATATTTTACTTAATGTAAGTTCAGCCGAACTCTACATTATATATGTATATGTATATTATTTAAACCCTTTATACAGATCTCTGAACAACTATCACTTGTTCTAGGATACTATAATTCATTTTCGTTATCTGACATAATGCGCAATCTAATATCGTGTCAATGCATATACGATTCAACAGTTTGAACAAATTCAATAATCATTTGAGCTCGTTATTACCATAACACTGTCACAGTCATGACCTAATTATCTTTCAGATGTCTTCATACCTCCCTTAATATGTTTCAGATATTTTTTGGGGGTAGAACATATGCATATATATATATGCATATATATATATATCACTATGTTCCATTAATATACTAATTTATATATAATATTTACAAATATACGCTACTCGAGAAACAGGTTCATCAATTTCAAATTTGCTCTTTCACAAATTGGATTATCATTTCTTTATGGGTGAATAATACACTTGGGTAATATATTTGTCTTTGTAACGAACAGCAGTTGCTAAACCCAAGGTACCATGTTTAATGCTACTAGTCAATAAATGGTTCAACACAACATGGTTAGGAGTATGCAATGAACCCCCATGTGCAATTTCATTTGTAGTTGACGCAATATTTGGGAAATCGTTCAGAATTGCATATTCTAAATGAGGAGGGAGTTGAGCAGGTAACATACCCCCTGATCTATTCTTGGTTCTTTCATAGTCTAATTTAGTATAATATTTTTCCATGATTCTTGGATCTGTAAATATTGAGGGTAATTTATTGGTGTACTCAGGTTCAGGTTCTTTTAATTCTTCATCATAAAACCTCATAAACCCATCTCCAACATTATCAGGCTCATTTTTAATCTTCAACGCAATTCTTGATTGTTGACTCATTTTCTTAAGTTTAAAAGCAGATATACGGTTTTGTTCTTTATTATCATCGGTATCATCATCCAAATGAGATGTGAATTCAGTACTATCTGTTGATCTAACTTCTAAATAATTAACGAAGTTCCCCATCTGATCTGTTGCGGTTGGTAAAAAATCGCTGTAACGAAGTTCATTATCCACCACAAATCTAAATCTATGCACACCTGGTGGGAGTCGTAATCGAACATGCAATATTCCTAATTTATTCGGTATTGGTAATAACCCTATCATTTTCGTCCAACCGGTAAAAGAACCAGTCACATATACTTTATCTCCACCTTGTTCCCAAACAATATCTACTGGTACCATTTTTCTTTTCTCCTTTGTTGAAGTTGGATCAAGGTTTTCAACCGTCGTATTAGTATTTTCTGTTTCTGGTTCACTTTCCATCACAACATCTTCCGATTCATCAATGGAATTTTTATTCACGTTATCGATTTCTACCATCTGATTTGTTTCTTCATCTAAGTTATCAACAAAATCATTACTATGACTGGATGCGACACTACGGACATCTTCTGTAGGTTCATTTGATATACTATCTTCTGAATCCTCAAATATTTTGTCCATTACCTCTTCATCACCTAGTATTAAACTGGAGCTACCAGATAGTCTACTACTATTACGATTACCACCTTTTAGTTCTGCCATTAGATCTGAAAAGTCCTTAGTAAAAGAATTACTATCCCCGGTATTATCAGCTAAACTACTAGTATTAGACCCGTTTTTAACGATATTGCTATCCATTTATTTTCAACTGTTGGTATTATAATCAACTCAAATATAAAATCTTCTTTGTAGGATGACTTAAAAAAAATAACAACACACGAATCTCAGAATTTGGTTAGGAATCCTTGCCCTTTAAATAAAATATGTTGGTTCAATTTACGTTATTTATAATGACATGCACTTTAATGAAGGGCTGATGTTTCACTTTTACAAACTGTACCTATTGCATATAACTATTACAATATTTTAATTCTTCTCGAGACTCTTTAAATGAGACAAATAAAGTGTCTTTGCTATTGTTATTGTTGCTATTCTCGCAAAAGTGCTTGTCAATTTGTCTACATGACTTCCCCCCCAAGATGGTATAGTTATTATGTGAGGTTGACGAAAGGATGGTTCAAGAATTTGTTCATTTATCATTCGTTGACCACAAAAAATGACACAGAACACTGCGGAGACAACTAACCAAAACAGTAAAAAAAAGCACCCCATAAAAAGAAAAAAAAGGCGATAGAGCCGCAGTGTCTTTCGGGTTAACGGAGATTGAAAATAATAATGAAATGTAAATCATTAATTAGCTCATCTGATTTCATTTAAAGATGTTTCAAATGCTTGTCTATTTTGATGAATAAAGATCAGGAATTGTATCAATTTCATCTGATATTGATTCATGATGCAGAATTAGTAAAACGATATACGTCATAAAATCATGTATGTTATTAAAAGTTATTTACGTTATTTAAGTAAATATAAATGTGTATCGTATACTCATATTAATGTAGGCATATGAATATGTAAATGGATATATTTCCATAAAATGCTTGTGTCTTTGTTTTTTTTAGTATTCGTTTTGGTAATCATAAAAAACATATGTATATGAATGGTCGTTAAATGGTTGTCGAGAGGATTTTGGATGACATAAATTCCTTTCCTCTCAAAATGCAATAGTTAATTGACAGGTTTGTTAAAAACATCTATCTGATTTAGAATATTTCTCATTGGTGGCAATTGTACATCAAAGTTTGTAGAGCTTGATAAGCTTTTATTTGTTAAGACACTACTGCTGTCATTAACTTTCCTCTCTTCATCAGAAGATGTATCATCTTCATCAGTTGAAAGATGAAAGTCGGCCTTTTGTCTTATTCTACCTCTTGGACCCAGACTAACCTCTAAGAAAGTTGAATCTTTTTTGCTCAATCTTGGAATAGCATTATCTGTAGTAGTTATATCTTCATGATCAAAATGTTTGTTATTAGTTAATGCTGTGTTTATAGATATGATACTGTTTGTGTTCGACACAGATCTCAGCTCATTACCCGATGTTGGCTTCAGAATTTTCCCTTTCTTTGCTTTATAAGTAATTGGTTTAATTACAGGAAGAACACTTAAAGCATTCTTAATAGTCGATGAAAATTTTTGGGTAGTAGTCTTTGCTTCTGGAATTACTACGTCTACCTCATTTAATTCCGAACGAGGTGATTCTATCACTGATAATATATTGTTATTCATATTATTGCTTTGATTATTATTAGCATTACTTGGAAGCTTGTTGTTAGAGAAAACAGAAGATACATCGCTTAGTGTCATCGAACTGTTTGAAGTTACAAAACCTTGATATTGTGGATAATATGCAGTATTATTAATGTTATTAAAATTGGTCTGTTGTGACATTGGTATAGAAGTTTGTTGTTGTTGAGATGGTGGAGGAGGAGTCATTGATTGTGGCATGGCATATTGCATTGGTGATTGCGGCATTCCAGTCATATAAGTTGGATAAGTTTGATAACCCGTACTCATGAAAGGAACCATCATTGGGAAAATACCAGGTTGAGGGGTTGGTGAAAAGATTCCATTATTCATGGTTGGAATATTAATTGCCATGGTTTGTACTGGTGTTCCAACAGGCTGTGGGAAGATTATAGTTTGTCCATTTTCTTCATAAACATTAACCATTGGACCTTGAATTCCTCTATTATTAAATCTTTTAGAATTACGACTAGTATTACCCGAATGTGTTCTTAGATGTCTCTTCAATTCATCACTTCTACTGAAACTTTTACCACAACCTGGGAAATTACACATATGAGGTTTCTCACCAGTATGTGTACGCATATGTCTCTTTTTATGTTCCAATCTATGAAACCCTCTATTACAAACAGTACATTTGTAAGGTCTTTCCTCATTATCATCTGGAAATGTCGATTCCTTCCTTGACATCTTTCTATAATTTTTTGTTAAGTAAAATATATTGTCAGCAATTTTTGTCAAAGTAATATCTTCCTTTTCTCCAAATTTTAAGTAAAATTCATATAAATAAAAGAAACAACAAGAGAACTATATATCGACAGAGAAAAATGTACTATTAAGGTAGTTATTAAAATATCAACAATTTTCATTCTTTAAATACAATCTGATTGTTATCAACAGTATTTCTGATATATAAATATATATGTATTTTCCGTTCAATCTTTTCGTATATGTCATATTTGATCAAGAATTTCAAGGTGAAATGAGGAATTATCAGATGATGATCGGTTCACAAGAAAAAGAAAGAACAACAAACAAGAAAGACAAGTCAGAAAAAAAAGAAAGGCCTCTAGTATTTTCTGGGGAAGACAGTGCCACGAGGACCCGACGAATAATATCTTTTGGGTTCAGGCAAGAATAGGTTACTATAATACTTTCGAACCAAATCTTCAAAAAGTAGAAACGAAAAACGATGTTTTTCCCCCATAAATGAGGTGACTTGATACCAGACACCTACGCTAGTTTCTTCACCCCAGATGTTTCTCGGAAAAACTTTTCATTATCAAAATTAATAAGAAAAAGAAAAGACGCACTTTAAGAGGCGTGGCCCTCCAGAAAAGTTTGTTGGGTTCAGAAAAACTATATGAATTTCCCCACTAGATCGAACGGGTTATCTTATTAAACTGCGGGCAGTTCTCGGTTAAAATGAGTATGTTCTCCAGAAACCCCATATGATGCGCGCGTTTTTTTATATTAATTTTCGGATAAATTTTGACATTTTTTTCCTGTTCTTTTATGTAAACTTCTTAACCATAAGGATTTATGTTATTTCATTAAAGAATTTATTTGAAACGGTACCGGATTGCAAAAACCGGGGCAGAGTTGCGGAGGAAAATGGCTACAATATTTGGGACGATACGATGGACTTAATCTCATTAAGAGAAATTAGTTTCATTATTTACCAACAAAAATAAAATAGAAATAAAATAAGATAAGGATGTAATATTTGTGGAATTGTAAGATGCTAGGATTATCGTTTGGAAATTCAAAAGGAATCAATAACAAGAAGGAACTTAAAGCAGAAAAAATATATACTTATAGTACATCTTATGAAAAAAAGAAAAATTAAACATTGATACTAGTTATTATAAACGGAAAAGGGTTTCTCCATACCCGAAGAGCCGCGGGTTGTAAATGATGATAGTGTGAATATGAATGACGCGACAGCCACGGTTGCGACTGCGGCCGCTTAATAAGAAAGATTATCACATATTTTTTTATTGCAAATCTGGGGAAATAGAATAACTACAACAGTCTATGTATGTATAAAAGTTCCCCCATGTGTCTTGCATTGTTTCTTACATAAGTAGAATATGGATTACTATCTGAAGATGAACCACACTTGGTATGCCCGAAGTTGATCCGGTGCCCCTCCATACTCCAGATTTTACAGAAGGACAAAGAAAGTAACAATACAGATATGTCTCCTTGATTTAATGAAACCTTAACACTTCTTGGATGATTCCATTCCAATATTGTTCCTTTTCTATATTCAATATTAATCCGATATATACTGAGAAGGTTAAATTGTTTGTCTTGTCATTGTTTTATTATCAATTAGAAAAACAACCAAGAGAACATACGTAAAAAAACAATAAAAGAACTTTGTTTTCTTTCTCCATAAATACATGCTAAATGTTCAACTTTCTAAACTAATTGTAAGAAATCGGAATTCCCTCTTTATTAATATAATATTATTAATAAAACTTTGTATAATACCAATTAAAAAATATCCAAAATAGATGATTATCAACCATAAAACGAACAAGAAGTGCTTCTTAAAAATCTTAGGAAAAAAAATATACGTACGATATCATATTGTTATTTCCAATTCCCCAATAGAATGACATGTTTAAAAACCCGCATTCACACATCAACCAGATGGAATAAGCGGAACTCTCCCAAGTAAGCGGATATCATCAAAAGAAGAATAACATTTTCATTTATGCTTACATTTTATACAAGATCCACAGTCTCTTAAACAAGAAAGGGTTAGTTTAATAAACCGATCATGGAAGGGGTATACATATATATATTGAGCCTCAAGAAACTCTATTTACCCCAGTTAACCATCTTTTAGGTCAACTTCAAAAACAAAAAATAACCTCGGACCAACCCGAATATTGAAAATCCTTGTAGCTTCACTCAATCTACCGAGTGAACAATTTCCACCTACACTTAACTTCAGGTTCAAACACGAATAGCTGGCCCCGTCTTACACGTACTACAACTGCAAGACCCCCATCAACCTACCGCTTCTTATATCCTTCGTGTGGTACCTGTCGCTCTTTGCCCCTCCCCACCCCCACCGGAAAAACTACTTGTCAGAAATAAGAAAAGAAAAAAAAAGAATCGAAAGCTGTCTCAAAAAAAAAACTCGTCAAAATGTCGAAAACAACAGAAGAAGAACTAGTATAACTTCACAAATTTAAAAGCAATACCCGATTTTTAACCGCAATTGGACCCGTCTTTGAATGCCCTACCTGAAAATGTTGCAAATAATTGAACAATAACATAGCAAACGGAGAAGGAAGAAAAGGAACACTAAATTCTCTCATTTATAAATTTTTGTAAATTTTATTTCCCCACGAACTCGCAGTCGAATGCGGATATTCCCCACAAATGACCCTACCGTTTAAGCAGACATTTTATATTTTGTGTAGTACTTGCACTTCTCAATTATAAATAACTGATCTTGGGTCACCCATAAATTGATATTATTGAATAGTCGTGCCTTTTTTGAATTGCTTGTGTGTATGTGAGAGGGAGCCATAGAAAACAATATTATATTGACTTCGTAGATATTTCCTCTATTAATTCGTGCCTACAATTTTATTTTCTATGTAGGTCATAGATTTGTATAAAGGTCTCATGTGCTAGCACAATTGAAAGGGTAATATTAATTTATTTGTTTATTATAAAAAAAGAGAAATGGTTTCGTTACCACCCTAAAATCACTAACCTAAAATCTAAGAGTAGTTTCTTGACCGTTTCTCTGAACTGCAACAATTAAGCACATTTACAATCTAGGGCCATTAAAGAAGAATTTAAAATAAAACTAAAATTGATAGTAGTGTTGAAAACAGCGTCTACAGTTGTATTTTGTCATACAAATGTCGAGAAGAATAAAACTACTGATTCCCTTGGAAAAACTATAAGTTAGAAAAGCTTATAAAAAAATGATATGTCTTTTCTTGCTCTCATATTAATATGATTACTTTGAATTTTATTCACAAGAACAATAGACATACATAGCGACATTTGGTACAACCACATATTTTTTTTAAATCTTTTATTATCAGAGTGAAGACTTTTTATTTTTATTTTGTTTTTGTTAGAAATATACATTATAAAATATATATATGTAAGTTTATGTTTGTATATGTGAATGAGGAATGAGAGCGTTTATGAGGTTATGTTTGGTTATTAAAAAAGGAAAATTTAGAGTATTGTTAGTTTGCTTGTAGTTTTCATCTGGGGTCATCAATTAGGCATTGAAAATAACGACGACGAATAGAATCAAAGGTTGAACAGAATCGACTGTCTTTGTGGTATATTTAATTTCTAAATTTTTTTTGTTGACAAACATTTAAACGTATATCGTTCTTCCCTTAATGCTAAAAACAACAACAGCAAACAAATAAACCCAAAATTAACAGCAGTTGTTAGAACTGCTCTTCTTCTTCTCATTTGGAGTAGGTGTTAAACTAATGGTTGGACCCTTTGGTGCATTTGCTCCGTTTCCATTACCATTACCATCACCCATATCTACTTGATGTTTACTAACCATTTGATATATGGCAGTAATTAATTCTCGGAACGCCTGATCAACATTCTCGCTGTTCAAGGCACTTGTCTCGGTAAATAATAACTGATTCTCAGATGCAAAATTCTTAGCTTCATCAGTTGGAACAGCACGTAAATGGGATAAATCAGATTTGTTACCGATTAAACCAACTGCTACATTATCATCTGCATTTTCTCTTAGTTCTGTTAACCAATGATTACAATTTTCATAAGTACTTGACTTACTTATATCATAAACAATTAAAGCACCAACGGCACCTCTATAATAAGCGGATGTAATTGCACGGTAACGCTCTTGGCCAGCAGTATCCCAAATTTGCGCTTTAATCTTCTTACCTTCAACTTCAATAGTTCTTGTAGCAAACTCTACACCAATAGTTGATTTTGATTCAATGTTGAACTCATTAGTGGTAAAACGCGAAAGTAAATTAGATTTACCAACACCAGAGTCACCAATCAAAACAATCTTAAACAGAAAGTCATAGTCGTAACCGTAATCTTCGTTATTCATCGTATATACGTATGTGTATCAATTTATGTCTTAAAAATAAGGTATAATAAATCAAAAACTCCTGGATATATGTAATCTTGGATAGATAGGATCCAATAACTTTAATGGAGAAAACTTATCGTCTTCAAAATTTATCTTTATATTTGTTGATTATTTTCAACACTTAACAATATCTAGATTGGATTCTTTTACTTTTTATAACGTCTTTTATATTAGTACAATTAAATGTAAAAAAGGGACCAAAACAAAAGACAATATATAATAAACCTTAAGTTTACAAAATGATATTCTATAAATGAATAATTGTTATTCTAGTTATCAATAATAAATAGTATATTAGTGATATTTCCAAGGACTACACACGTATCGATAATGAAAGCAATTATTGATACTGTAAAATCAAAACAAACGCAAAATGTGATCGTGGTTTCTTCGTTTGTTAATTCTTCAAACTTCGTTTCGTTCGCGGAAAAACAAGAATTCATATCGCGTCGTACGACACGTCACTACGTATACGATTTCAAGCTATATGTAGATAACAAAATGAAATATGTACCTCTATATATATTCATATATCTATACGATTACTAAAACGATAAATGTTCCAAGGTTCTCATGACACGTGCAGCACCGTCCACTGAACTGTCCTTCTCTAGTATGATTGTCGCTCTGTTCTTCTCCAGACCCTCAAGTAACATACACGCTTTGCAAATCTTGTTACTAGATAGATAACCGCATCTCTCACACCTATTACCGTCTATAAATCCGCTATTGACCGTAAGTGGATCTTGTCCTGGGGCTAATTTCTTGAATCGTTGCTCTTTCTCCTTTAGAACAAGATTTTCACCACTATGGATAATGTCAATAATACAACTTGGCCTCACAGCCTCCAAATTCTTCATTAATTCTCTTGCGGTACCTCTAAACGCTTCAGGTGCATATGTACATTCGGTTGAAAAATAATCTAACTTTTTGTAATGTGCATACAACACAATTTCCTTCTGATAAGAATATTTGAAAGGTTTTGATCTTTTAATCGGAGAACCAGAACTTTGAGTAATTATAGCAGTAGACTTTTCTAGCCTAGCAACATCACCACGAAGAATATTCATAAGGACTGTCTCAGCCATATCATCCGCATTGTGCCCAGTAATAACATGATGTATATTTAATTTTTGGGCACCTCTATCCAATGACTGTCGTCTAAAGACACCACAATATGTGCAACTGTTTCTTATCCCAGCCGTCGCAACAATTTCATCCATGGTCCAGTTGTAAAGTTCTTTGAAAGATACGATTTCTAATGGTAAGCCATATTGCTTTTGATTTCTCTTCACTGTAGCCAATGAGTCGTCACGGTACCCGACGATACCTTCATCAACACTTAATAATGTAATGTCAATACCATAATCATGTCTCTCATTCAACAATTTCATAATATGAGCAAGTACTGTGGAATCCTTACCACCAGACGCACCTACAGCGACTCTTTCACCACGTTGGAACAAATTGTTTGTGACAATAGTATTATGAATTTCTGTTTCAAAAACATAATAAAAACATTCTTTGCAAATCTTCTGTAAATTTTTAGGTCTTTTCAGAATTGCTTTACGACAATGACAGAGCTCACATAACTGAGATATCTTGATTGGTTTGCTCTTGTTATTAACAGGATCAGATGGCGGAGCCCAAGACATTTTTATACTTAGTAAAAATCAATAATATTTGAGTCGTCTTCTGAGTTGTTCTAATAGGGTATTTATTCAATAATCAGTGTATCTTTACAAGTAAATTCTATGAAGAAATATCCCGTGCTTGAAGTGGTTATCAGCAGTATATCAATATCTGTATTGTAACAGTTTATGATATGATTTTATGATTTCTTAATTTGTCATCAAAATTTTTTTTGCATCGCGCTGAACACATTACAAACGGCGTTGTTTAACAGTTTTAAAAGTTATCATCGTTTCTTTGTATTAGTATTAATTGAAATTAGACATAAAATGATCAATATATTAATGTAGATGAGTATGACACTAATACCGCTGATTTGTATATATCTGTATACACACTGTATATACTGTGTTGTTATAACGATTCATTAAATTTGGTGGCCCTCCTTGTAGCAACATTCAATTTATTGGCAGTCTGATCAACATCATTGCTAAAGGAATCCAATAACTCGTTCTGTTGACTTAGTTCCTGATTCATTTGTATAGATATGGCTTTTTGATTCTGGATTATTTTATGCAGGTCTATTAATTCTTGGTCCTGACTCTTTAGCTTATCCTTATGCATTGTTAGAAGTTCCATGTTATTTAATTGTGCAGTAGTTTCAGTCTCTCCAAGACGTCGTCTCCCTACGCGATGCCTTGTAGTTTCGCCAATTTTCAATGTGCCTTTAAATTCAATGGTTCCATCACGAGGACTTGGAGACTTGTCGAAATGATCATTTCCATTATCTTCAAAAGATTGTTGCATGGAGAGTTCGTTTATATCAACTTTCAATAAAGCTAATAAATTTTTCCTTCTTTCAATCTCTGGAGATTCTATTGTGGTTTCAACATTTTCAATATCTTCGAATGCCTTCTCTAATTGATTCACTTTCAATCGTAATCGAATTAACATTCTTGTGCGGTCTTTGACAACTGCTGACTTGCATTCCTCAAAATCATTTTTACAATCCCTATATGATGATAACCAATTCTCCTTGTCATTATCTGTATCACGAGTCACACTTTCTCTAAATGTATTATGTCCACTGATCATATCGCTCCATCTTTTAGGTATATTCAAGAACCGCGCCACAGTTTGAGTATCTCTCCATTTATTATCAAACGAATCATTTAACATATCATATAGGAATTTTTCTAGTTTAGTCTTTCTTTCGCCAATAACATCCTTGCTAATACTGGTTTGTTTAGCCCATAAACTAAATTGCTTGTTTGGTAATTCATATGGGAAATCTGCATTTCCAATCTCATTTACCATTTGCTGTCTTAGGGTAATGAAATCGGAGAACCTCTTATGGATATGGGTTTCCCAGTTAACAATTCCTTGTCTCAATAACCTTATATGTATATCATATTGTGTATATGTATCATTTATCAGTTGTGTGCTTTCCACAGTTACCTGTGTTTGCCAATGTTGGTTGCCGTTGTTATCAATCATCTTTCTATTAATATTCCTAATATTACACAAAAACCTTTCTATATAACAGTTAAAAGGGTTCTAAAAGATTTTAAAAACATGTGTTATATAAATATTACCAATAGTCTAGTATCAATAACCAAATATGTCCTCCTATATATTTATATTCTCATCGGTTCCCCTTGCTGTTAGTGTGTCTCATGTTGCTTTATATCATTTTCCTTATAAGATGTGAATTGGTAGCCTCGCTTAGTAGCTCTACAAGCTAAGAAAAGAAGAAAAATAGAATAAAAGTGGAATTTTACACTCGAAGAACTAACAAATCGATAGTTAGTTAGAACAATACAGGAATAGAGAGGTAGAAAGAAAAGTAGAGAACCGATTAATTAAAAAGTTGAACGTTAATTGAGACTTCTATAAAAGTCATATCTTTATTATATTAGGAAGGTAAATACCAGGGAATTAACACATTAGTAAGTATCCCCATGTCTAAAGTATTCATTCCAATTGCCAATGTGGGAAGAGCTCACGAAGCTGACATATACTCAGTTACCATCACAAATCCTTATTCGATTTCTTGCAGTGGTGATGGATATTTAAAATTATGGCCTAACAAAACTTTAATTCAAGAACAAAGTACTTTAAAGGATAATGTCATTTCAACATTTGTTCATCAAACAGGTCTTCATCATGCCGATGCTATTTATTCAGTAGAACCTCACGACGTTGGTACAGTGTTGATTATTGCAACTGTATCTTTTTCAGGTAATATACATTTTTATCAATTCTTGGAAGAAACTGAAGAATTGAAAGAATTAGATCTAATCGATGAGGATTTAAAGAAAAAATCCTTTTGGAGTTGTACATGGGTGAAGAGTAATGACCAAGTTGTAAACCATAGATTTATTGCCACAGATATTAAGGGTAATACGTATGTATGGAGATTTATGTCAACCGATAAGATTGTCCGAGAGGATGAAGAGAAAGCAGAATATAAGAAGAATTTGCATTTTGAATTTCAAGGTGAAATTCCTTCTAATGAGCCTGTCTTTGCCACTTGTGTTGCTGCATCTTCTAGTAAAGGGCTTATTGCTACTGGGTTTGCAAATGGTTCTGTTATCGTGTCACAATTAAGTACCCTAAGGCCATTATATACATTTGAAGGTCTTGGTCGTGAAGGTGTAGACCAAAATAGTAATTCCGTTCGTAGTGTGGCATTTTCACCTGCAGGTAATTTACTTTCTGTAGCAAATGATTCAGGATCATATGGTTGTGTCACCCTCTATGAAACAGAATTCGGTGAAAGAATTGGTAATTTATCAGTTCCAACCCATTCAGGACAAACAAATATTGGATTATTTGCTCATAACGGTTGGATATTCAATCAAGCATTCAACCCAAGTGGTGAGTTCATAGCTACATGTGGCTATGATGGCAAAGTTAGAGTATGGGATGTTAAATCAAAGGAACGAGTATCGACTTTAAATATTTCCGCCTCCGATATTGAAATTGAGGAAGATATAATGCTTGCGGATGAAAATGGAGATTCGTTAAAGGTACCACCAGTGTTCGATGTTCAATATATTGCACAAGGCACACTAAATGGTGTCGGTAACGAAACAAATGAAGGTTTATGTTGCGTATGCATGGATAGAAGTGTCAGATGGTTTAGGGAAGCCGGTGGTAAATAAGAAATTGCTATTATTATATACACATTTTTAATGATTTGTAAGATATCATCCTCATTAGTCTGGGAAAGAGTATAATAATTTTATTGAAATCCTAATTCAAATTACGATAAGACTAAGCACAATTCAAATCTCTATCAGTTTTCTAAATGTATAAATACAAATATTGTATTCTTTTTCTATTATTGAATGATACGTAAAAAAAAACTTATATATATATATATAGTATATAAAAGTATAAGGTCAAAGCAAAAAAAAAAAAATTGAGACTCATAAGGACTTCATTCTGAAGTTGTATTTTTAGGTTATTAAATTTCCTATTAATGTAATATCTCATCAATGAGATTGTTGTTCGTTAAATATGCATCATTCTTTTAGTTTATTTTATATGTTAAAAATTTCATGATTTTTCATTATACTTTTTAAAGAGAATTGGAATGCTTTTTTTTTGATAGAAATGATTCTTTTGGTTGTTTATTATTATTGTTATTATTATTATTGTTATTATTATTATTTTGGTGAAAATGATTTTGAAATGCAAAGTGTTTATGTTTCTATGTATGGTACCATCAATAAATTGTAGAGAAATTATTGTAGAAATTATTTGATTTATTTCTTAAAATTTGATCATTTGAGGTCCAATATGTAGTATCCGGTTGAATCGGCTTTAAATGTTGTGATTGCGATTGTGATTGTTGTATTTGATGTTGTTGAGACAATAACAATTGCTGTTGTTGTAGTTGCAATTGTTGCAATGGTTGTTGAGCAATCTTAATATCTTGTTTTGAATCATAAAAATTATAATAATCATAATTAAATTGATCATCGTATGTGTTCGTAAAATTATTATTATTGTTGTTGTTGATATTACTATATTTGTTCATCATTGGAGATGATTTTATAGTTGGAATATTTAAATGATTTAAATTATTTGGATGGTAATCATAATTACTAAAATGTGAATTCATGGTATTAGTATTATTATTATTATTATATGCATCATTCATATAATGGTATGGTGATGAAAATATTTGATTCCCATAGGACGATGTTGTCGAAACACCAGACGATGAAGTAGCTGTAGTAGCAGTTGCAGCAGCAATAGCAGCAGCAGTTGCAGCAGCTATTGTTGATGAAGATATCGACGATAATTTTGGTGTTTGGAAACCGAATGGTGTTGATGGAGTAGTGACACCAGTAGGTGAAAAATACGGAGAAGGAACATTCAAAGGTGATTTCAAGTTTCCAAATGCGTTTAATTCATTAATGCTAGAAGTATTGTTGTTGTTATAAGCTTGTTGTTGTTGCTTTAATAAAGTTTTCTCCTGAGAGAATTGTTGGAATGAATAAACGAAATCCGAATAAAGGATGAATTTATCATCATACAGTTTCCAATTAAAAATATTTAACCAATTTTTTTCGTATGAATTAATTAAATCGATATCCATTCCTGTTGCTTGAGACCACGATTTATTTGTAAAAGTTTTATCGTCATTAAATTTATTAGCTAAAATTAATGAAACTATGGTATTTTGATAAATGACATTAATAAATTTTCCGCCAATAGATTCGATTCCATCGGGTAATTTTCTTAAATATTTTAAAAGGTAATCCATTGACATGAATATAGTCACAGAAGGTAATCTTGTTGCATTTAATACTGATATTATCCCTTTTAAGAATAAATTATAATTATTTGGGGAAGAAATTGCTAACGAATTATTATTTTCTGTATTATTCAGTAAAAACGATGATGATGAATCTAATATTAATCTTGTATCTGAACCAAAGATAAAATATGCGGTCTTTGTAACGAATTCTGCCATTAATTCCACTTCATAATCCAAATTTTCACTCACGCCTCCATTAACAATTTCATTATTAGTCGTATTATTATTATCAATTTTAAATTGTTGTGGTTGAATCATTAAACCTGGTGGTGGTGCTAGTGGTAGAATATTATAATTGGTTTGTTGTTGTACTAAAGGAATATTTTGATTAATGAATTGAGGATGTATTAAAGGTGGTAAATTGCTTGCATTATTATTACTCTTCATTGTTGTTGTTGTTGTTGTGGTATTATTAGTGTATTGATTGAAAAGATTTAAATTATTTGATAATTGAGGGTGAATAATTTGTGGTATATTTATATAATTTTGAAAATTATTATTAATTGAAGTCATAATGAAATAGGTAAAAAAAAAATAGAAATAAAAGGATAAATTAACTTAATAACTCCTTTACAATGTTTTTTTTACAAATATAATAATATAAGTTATTTTAAAAAATACCAATAAAGATAATAATATCAACCAGTGATATATTTATTATAAATTGTTCGGTACTAAAATAAAAAATTAATATTAATATTGATATTGATATTGTTATTATTTTAAGATTAATATTAAAAGGTAAAATAATTAATATTACCTATAAATTAAAATAATGTCCCAATATCATATACTATAATTGTAGTTTATGATGCCTATATATATAATATTGTTCTTCAATTAGTAGTAATTGCCAGAGATGACAATGACAATAGAAGATTTATTGTAATTTTATTGCAATTTTATTGTAATTTCATTGTAATTTTTCTTTTCAACATAATTAAATCAAACAAACTAAAATTACTTCTTATTTCTTAATGAGGCAACCATTCACCGAATGAGACTTTCTCTCTCTGTGTCTGTTAATGACAAATTTACTCAAAAACTTTGCAAGAGAGTGATACCTCCCCACCCCCCACTACCAGTACTACTACTACCACCACCAACTATTCATGGCTACACATAGAGAGAGGGGGCAAAGTTAGCATGACAAGTATCAGATTATTGCGGTTAAACTTGCCATCGATCGATCGTCATTCTGTGGTAAATTAGCAGTTTATTTTATTGGCTGGCGGATTGATAATAATACTACTTTCTCTCTGACTGTTCTGTACACGCAACTGTTAGTAAAACGGTTTCTTGTTTTTGTTGTGTGAGGGTTAAAATGGAGGAAATTAACAAAGAGAGCTATATTTCCGGCGTGTGTATGCGGTGTGTGGGTGACGCGTTACGCTAAAATATGTTTAAATATTATATTGTGTTTCTTGCTTGTTTTGTTTCTGCGGGGCTCTGTTAGAGTACAAAGATTTATTAGTTTTTAGTTTTTAGTTTTTACGAATACAGAATCGACCCACCCCACCCCCAGCAGCGGCAGAACAGCTCTTTCAGCTCTTTTAGTTGCTGCTGTCGCTGTCGTTGTCGCTGTCGTTTGGTTTACGAAACAGATAAAAATGTTTGTGCGATGGATGGTACGCGCTTCTCAATTCTGCAAAGGGAAGGCAGCAACAGCAACAGCAACAGCAAAATTACATTACGTACACAAATTTAGTATCCGGTCACCGTGAAATTAAAATTCGCATTTGATTTCAGGTTGATTGGTTGGTTCCCATCACCTCTTTTTCATATTGCGTATTGCGTATCGCTTAGAAAATCCTATATACCAAGTCTAGACTCTCTTGCGAGCCTAGCATTTTATTTACTTCATAGATAAAACGACACTGATTAACGGAGTTTATTCTTATTAACACTATTTATTAAACAACTCTGTCTCTCATACTTTTGCAGTTTTTGTGGTCAAAAATCCTTTTTACTAACAATTATATTACGTTATTAGTAGAATACTTGATTTTATTTATTACATTGACGTACCAGACTATGTATTTTTGCTTTTTTTCTTTTTTTTCTTTTTTTGGGGACTAGGAATCGTCTGTAAGGAAGTTTCGTCTCAATAATATAGATGATCCACTAATATTATTACTATTTCTATTACCATTATTGCCATTTTCATTTTCATTAATTATACTCCGATCTTCTATATTACTATTGTTATTGTTATAACTTGTATCAACTACTTTATTTTCTTCATTTTTTAAACTATCTTGTGTGGTCATTGTAGTATCTTGTAAACTCATATCAATTTCCATAGAATCTGATAGTATTATATTTTTTGTTGGAAATTTTGGTATTACTGATTCAATTAGAGAATCTGACCATCTTAATTTTTTCTTTTTCTGCTTATCGGTAGTATTACCATTCTGCTGAATTATTAAAAATTGTTCAGCAAATTCATCAAATTCTTTATCAATATTAACTAAGTCTTGAAGAATTAAATTAATATCATGCTCATTAATTAAACATTCACTGAAAAATTTAAACCGTTTCAATAATTTTTCATCATTAAATAATTTTTCAATTATTATGGAAGAATTTATCATAATTTCATTTCTCAAACTTTCTTCGATTTGCAATAATTTTGTCTCAAATAAATTTTCATATATCGATTCATCCCAATTTTCCATTTCTTTTAATTTTAAATAATCAACTTCTTTGACGTGCTTAATAACTAAATTTAATTCATCATTGGAATCAAATTTAATCTCTAATTCTTTAATCTTTTCAAAAATTTGTAATTGAATTAATTCACAATTCTTATGAATTTCTCGATCTGTAAAATAATTCATTACATTATCAATTTCAATTTTAATTAATTGTAAAAAACGTCTTTTAACTAATGTTAATGATCTTAAATTTTTTAGTGTAATATACCTTTCATTTGTCTTATATTGATATTCAATATTATTAAAAATTTCTTTCATTTGTCTTTCAATTTTTTGATAATTCAACTTTAATTCATTCAACTTTAATTCAATCATTTGTGATTCTCTTAATCGTAATTGTTCAATTTCTAGTTTTTGTTCTGTAATCATCTTTAAATAGGAACTAACATGTTTATTTAATGATTGTTGATTTCGTATAATCTTTGTCTTAATCTCTTTAGCTCGATTTGCATATTTTAATGTATTCAAAGTTTCATCATAATGTGAACTACTTGGTGATATACAAACAATCATTACTGTCTTACAATTACCACCTAATGAAAATTTAAGTAATCGAGTCAATTTGGAATCTCTATATGGAATATGATATGATCGTTTATGATTACCATTAATCATCATCTCATTAGTATTATCACTAATACATAATGCATTGATACAGTTACCTAAAGCTAATAATGATCGATTAATATTTGCACCTTCATTAAGTCGTTTCCCTCTATTTTTAGTCGATGCAGCACGTTCACTACCTGCAAGATCAATGATTGATAATGTAGCATATTTATGATGTGAAGTTAAATCAATAGTTTTATTGGTTTGAATAATATGAACTTGTAAAACAGAATGAGATCTGGATGATACTTCATTTGCTTCAGTTGGTGATGTAGTTCTATTAATATTGCCCTTTATCACTAGATCGATTACATCTTGAACAGTCTTTGGGTAATGATGAGATAGATTTGCTACAGTGGTTCGTTGATTATCATCTTCTCGTATAATTAATCTCTTTGAATTAGTCTCTGGATTTAATAGATCTCTTATTCGTTCATTATAAATCTCTAAAAATGATAATGATATTTCAAAAGTTTGTGTATCATTTAATGAATCAATTTTATCAAATAATTCTTGCATAGCTTGGAAAATGATCCCTGGTGCCTCTGGTGTACCACTTACTGTATAAGTTTTCCCACAACCAGTAGCACCATATGCAAATATTGTAGCATTAAAGCCTTCCAAAACTGATGTAATTAAAGGACTCGTTGTACTTTGATAAACTTCTTGTTGTGTAGAGTTGTCATCGAATAATTTATCAAAGACAAATTTAATTTCTCCGGAATCATCATCTATTTTCCCAAATTGTCTTCTTGATATATTATTTTGAGATCCAGTATTATTATTATATATATTTGTTGTCTTTAAAGTTCTTCTTCTTCTTTGCCTATTTTTCCTTCTTTGGAAGTATGCACTATTTAAAACATTTTCGCTCATTAAATTCAACGGAGTTCTATCAATTGGGTCAAATACTAACATTTTATCATCTACACAATCTATCAATTTCCAAATACCATTAGATCTTATCATTTTATTATTATTACTATTAGTAGTATTATTATTTTCATTATCATTTTCTTTTAAATCATTTGGTAATAAAATACTTGAATCACCTGTCACACTGGTAGATTCATTTTTCTTACCATTACTAAAATTTATTGGATAGGGAAAATTAGTTAATTTTGTCTTTATTGATTGATCTATTGAAATCAAATTCGATAATTCCATATCATTAAATGGCCTAACTCGTACTGCCACCGTAATTGACGACTGTCTACCTACCGAAGATGGATCCATTATTAATGAAATTGTGGTAATGTATCAATTTACTGTTGTTCTTTAATAGTTATAACTATTCTAATAAAATTATTATAATATCCGATGCTCTTACTTAACAGAGTTTGGCTCGATTAAGTGAAATGGTTTATGAGACTATTCTCCATACACACACACACACACATATATATATATAATTACAAAAACGAAACTGATAATTGTAACCCTTGCACGTTTATGAAGGGGAAGCTAAATACCCAACATTAAGTTATAAATTTTGCCGCCCATAAGGAGTTATTCGCTATTATTAAGATGAGCCCAACCATCTTATTTATTTACTTGTTGATATTTTGCTTTTTGCCTTTAGTAAGTAATCCGTGCGTATTGCATTATATAGTGTGAATGTGTATATGAGTGTGAGAAACGCGATATCCCTGGGTTGTCTCTCAGCGTGCGCTTCAATCAAAACGCAGCCCGCAATTTACCAAAAAGAGCCGTTCTTGCCGTGCCAAGTGACGTGTCTTCCACAAAAATTCCGCGTCAGCTGACCGGCCTCCCTGATTAGGAAACCGTACCGCTCATCTACTAAAAGCTGAGAATAATAGTGGAACGCTGTATCACTCTGCACGGCAGACTTCACTTTTCGCAACTTGAGCGTCATGGCTCTTGATTGGACACACTCGATGTCGTTGCGCACGGCGAACCCCGGAGACAGCTCTGATATAAATTGTGTTCCGCTTCGCTTCTTCCTTTGTTCTTTGACTCGGGCAGCGCAGAAAGAATGGAAAAACCAAATTTCAAATAGCAAATTCTAACTCTCACCGAGAGAGAGAGACAGTGAGAGTCGTACGAGAGACGATGGGATGCAGAATAATTATATTCCACTGCGTTGACGATGATTATTACACTAGTATTACGGAAACTGCGAACAATTTTTCTGTTTCTATCACTGAAATTAATAATAAGATAAAATAATGAACATATAAATATATATATAGATGTACTTGGACGTTATATAAATTTCAGTTGTTTAGTAATACGGTACTCTAAAAGATTATAGGATAACAAAAACACGGCAATATAGAATATTTATTTATTTTAGTTAGAGGAAGTATAACATTTTCGCTTCTTTTAAAAAAATACAAGCACTTTTCTATTTTCAATTAATTTTATTGTTATTTTTTTGAAGCTGATTACTTCTCTGTTACAATATAAGTTTATATTATATATATATATTTGTTTGCGGTTTTTCCCTCATATTAAGGATGTCCTTTAAATTTAATGAGGATGTATTTAGGGATAATTCCTTTAATGAAAAGATAAAAGAAAAATTAACTTCTGCTCTTAATAAAGGTTTCCATTCAGATTCTAATACTAATTCAAATTCTAATCCAAATTCAAATAAAATAGATTTAAATCAATACGATTTTAATGATACAAATAAACATACAGAAAAAGCTGACATCTTAAAGAGTAAAATTATTGTGAAGAGTACAGATTTCCCAACTATACCGAAATTTGAAATATTAGATCTAGATATTAATACACAACCAAGATCTCTAGTGAAAGGAATATGTAAAATAATAGTTAAAGATGCTATGGTCCAATTACAAACGGTAATCGAATCTAATTTATTGCTGGTCAATATGAAGAATTCACCAATGTTTATTAAACCAAAATTAATCGAAAACAATTCTTTAGAGATTCCAATTGTTATGACTTTTAGTCAAATTTCTTTAGAGGCAATAAGTAATATCTTTGTGAAAAATAATAGTCTAAGTATTTCGTTCAATGATGTGAATTTAGATTTTAATTTCGATTGTTCAATTAAAATTTTACAAAATACTATAGAGAGAAGATTAAAAGATTCAATGCATTTATTGTTTAAGGATGTATTACCTACTGTATTGTTTAATATGTCTCAAAGTTGGTTTACAAATAATCATAATAATAGTACATCAAATAATGTTAACCATATCCCTCCACAATTATCATCATCTACTACTTCAAGTGGGACAATTTTAGATAAATCAAATGTAAAGAAAAATGGAAAATCTTCTTTACCAAAGACTGTATTTGATGAAGTGGATTTGCAAGAATTATCACCAAAAAATATGGTTAGATTATCCACTATTGTATCATCAAGACATACTTTATCATTACATGGTACTAGTGGATTACATTCGATGGCAAGTATTCCAGGTTGTTTGGAGAAACAAAACTTGTATAGATTTATCTCGAGAATGCCATCTTTATCTAATTATTATTCGGCATATCGTACAGGAGTAACATCAGACAACAACAATGTTAACAATGCTAATAATCAAATGAATTGTATCGATTCCCAGCATTATTCTCATGATAATAATTTTCTTCCTGAAAGAGTATTAAGAGAGAAAAAATATGATTTAAATCAAATTATTGATATTCAAAATAAATTATACGAAAGAAGTGCAGCTGATGAAAATGAAAAACCTAAGAGAAGAACAATTAAACTAAACAGAAAACATAAGAAGAGACAAGAAAATATTGAATCTGTAAGACAATCAACACCGACTTTTGAAAAGTTCAATTTACCAAAATTGACTGATGAATCAAAGAAGTCAACAGTTACTGTGAATAACAATAAAATTGATGATGAAGTACCATCCCCAAGGACAAACGTTCCACCTCATATGATTTTCAATGAAAATATTGAATATTTTACTGAAAAGGATCATTCATTACTATTTGATACCCCTTTGCACACTAACGAAATTACAGACCCTGAAAAGTTACCTAATGACATTATACGCAGTATAGACATTAAAGACATCAAAATCAATCCAAAAAAAAGGATCAATTCTCTTGGTTCAGGTTCAAAGAGAATATCGTTTGTCGGAATTAATAACCTTTATAATAATAATGGTTGGAAATGGGGTAACGAAGATAATACCACAGTTTTACCTCCACCTCCATACAGATTATAAGATAAACTTTAATGCCATCCATCTTCTTTGTATGACAAATTGTATTTACATATTCTTATATATTCTATTTAATATCTCCTGATAAAAGGAATTAGATATACTCAAGTTCGTATTTTTATTAATTATTCGAGAATGTCAATTAAAAGTTATATTTATTTATTTTCTATAAGATACACAGAACAATATTTTATAACTAATAATATATATATATATATATATATTTATATGCTTGTAACAATATTTGCTAAATGAATTTTAATTATCCTTAATACGTGCAACCTTCGTTATATCACTATTTTTGCCCATTCTTCTTCAGTATAACATTTACAACTGAATGCATGAATAGTCTGTATTTCTTCCTTCAATGCACCATTGACAAGACGACTTCTTTGGAGCTTATTCTTACCTTGAAATATATTACTAACCACGACAACATCAAACGATTGCCCACAACCATATGATAAATCTGTGACAATGACATTATAGACATCAGGGATTGTCGTTGATATTTTGTTACGCAAATCTTCTTCTGTAAGCATTCTTAAGGTGATATAATAGAGTTATTAGAGCTCGGATTTTCTGATAAAGGATTAAAGTTATTCTTAAACGGTTCTTTAAAGGTCTGTTTCTAACTTATTACTTACTCATCTAAGCACTTGTTCATTATTAAGCATTACATAAATCTTCGGTCTCTTTGTCATTTACTCGAATATCGCTAAATACTTTTCTAAAGAAAAATGTATTTGCCCGCCCAGTACATTAATCATGTTAAGGAGGGTGTGCATAATTTGATATAACAATCTTCTTGAACAGTAAGTTAAGAACACAGAATATCATATATATTCATATACTTATATGGTATGCTATCTATATACATTTATTTAGTAGATTACCCACAAAAAGTTGAGTTTATTAAAAAAAGGAAAAACTACAACACATCAGCGCAGTGAACTTTTTACACTATTTCGAGCTGCCAGCAGTTAGCGTGTTAATTAATAGATTCTTGACCGGACCAAGACTGTCAGTAAGTTGTAAACCTAGAGATCTCAATTGTACAACGGGTGTAAAGTTAGTTCCATATATCTTGTGTAATTTATCAGCCATTCCTAATCTTACGTTGTTGAAAGGATAACATTCTCCCCAGAATGGTTCAAGACATAACATAGAACCGATATCGAGACCACGTAAAGTACCCTTTTCTAAAGCTCTTGTCAGTTCTTCAACATCATGTTGACCCATGTTTAAACCTTGTCCAGCCAAAGGATGTGTAGTATGAGCAGCGTCACCTACTAAAGCAATTCTGTCACTACAATATATGTCGGCGTGACTTAACTTCAATGGGAACCTTGCTCTTGTCTTATCAACAATGTCGATAACCTGTGGTGGGTAACGTTCATCGATTAAGGAATCGTTCTTCAATGAATCCCAAACTTGATTAATTCTTTGGGTTATATCGTCAATGACTGATTCATTAGTAACTGAGTCATTTGGATTTTCACCTAGGATCTTATAATAATAATCCAGATCAGCATCGTCCAAAATAAATGCAGCATTAACAAGTGAAGAGAATACCTTAGGATCTAATTGAATCAATAGTTGGGACAATTCGTTACCTTTAGTACTCCAAACTAAAGTAGCATTATCACCAGGTAATGGAAGGTGAGCGATTGGTCCAGTCTTTAAAAATCTTTGCCATCCCCTTAATTTAGCGAAAGGTGATAATGGGTTCAATTTTAATGTAGCCACCATACCAAATGTATCATAAGGCCAACCACGAGTAGTAATCCCTGAGAATTTCTTTACTGGAGAATTAAACCCATCTGCACCAACTAATAATCTGGTCTTATATTGTTCACCATTACTTAAGGTGACAATTGGCCAGGATGTTGGATCACCTTTAGTGGATGATTCGATACTAGTTACTTTCACCTCTTCTTTAATTTCAAAACTTCCTTCATTTAAATTCAAATGGTTTAAACGATGTAATAGAGATGATTGAATATTTAAGATCTCTATCATATCTAACATTCCGTCTTGATCAAGAGCCATTCTTGCATCAGTCATACCATCTATAACATACAATCCATCATAGGATTGAATTCTATCATTCATCAAAGGCACTCCCAAAGTTTCAGTTAAAAATTTCTTCGACTTAGGAGTTAAAGAAACAACTCTATTTGTGAATTCTTCTGGTGGATTATCATAGAATTTGGCTACTCTATCTGTTAAATTTTGAGAATCTACTAATGTAGTTTTAAACCCGGAAAGTATTGGAGATGTCTTAATAGCGGTTGCTAAAGTCAACCCTGCTGGACCACCACCCACAATTAAAACATCAGTTAATTTAGGACCAGCACTCTTGGCAGCTGTAGCCAATTGTCTCCTTATAATTGTTTGAAACAAACCTAGAAACTGCATTGAACTTGTCTATGACTATCTTTTGTTTTTTAAAGCACCCAGTGTAAACAAGCCAAACCAAACAACACTTAATGATTGGAAAATAAAATAAAACTCAACCTCGACTACTGTAATCAATCCCAAAAGTATATTAATAGTTTAATTTATTGTACAGTCTTTCAAATAAATGCTTATACTTTCCCCTGAATCCTTTGTTAGGATTAGCTGCTCCTTTGAGCCAACATTTTCAATAGACGCGCACTCCGAAAGATTTTTCAATTTATTCAAAAAGACTTCCATGTTTAGATGGTGAGAAGAACAGTTTAAATAGAAGTTATCACAAAAGTACTAAATGGTGTAATATTTTTCCAGTTATAATATATCTGTTACTGACACACAAACATACAAATACACATACCCTCTTTGAAAAACAATGTGTAGGGCTCTTTCTAGATCTCAATTGCAAAAAGTTGTCAGTGCTATAACAAAATGGTATCCTACGGAATTAGCCGACAGTGCATGGGATAACGTCGGTTTATTAATCGATTGTTCCATTACTAGCGAACAAAGTACCAGTACCATTGTTCCAAAAGTTCTTCTTACTGTCGATTTAACTCAAGACGTAGCACAAGAAGCGGTCGATAAGGAATGTAACGTAATTATTGCCTACCATCCATTTATTTTCCCATCATTTAAGAACATTGCTCCAACGAAAAACCCACAACATAGAAGTTTATTGAAATTGATTCAAAACAACATATCTGTCTATTCTCCTCATACTGCTGTAGATGCTGCACGTGGTGGTGTCAATGATTGGTTAGTAGATGGATTAATTCAATTTAAATATGAACTTATTGCCAAAACCGTTGCCATAGAACGCACCAATGCTTACCCTTCAGAAGAGGATATAGGCTATGGTAGACTTTTATCACTAACTGGCGATGGTATCAAATTGAGTGATATAGTGAGCAGCATCAAACAAAACCTTCACATCCCACATCTCCAAATATCTTCCGACTATCAAACAAACAAGGACAAAATGATCAAGACCGTCGCGTTATGTGCTGGTAGTGGGTCTGGTGTATTCAAAGCTCTGTCACAAGATCAACAGGACGAAGTAGACCTATACTATACAGGTGAATTGTCCCATCATGAAGTTCTTAGATTGAAAGAGTTAGGTAAAACAGTCATCACTTGTAATCACAGCAACACAGAACGTGGATACTTGGCAGCCGTCATGCAAAAAAAGCTCTCAGACCAAGGACTGTCAGTGTCGGTCAGTAGCTACGACCATGACCCATTGTACGTTGTTTAACATGTGTATACATGACATGTATAGTTGCACATTATATATATATGTATACAAATATATACATATATTTACCCGGCGACTGCCGTGCAACACGATAATCCCCGCTTCCCTAACGAAAAGCTGCATAATTTTGCAGGAAATTCAAATTGGAATCCGTGGAGAACTTTTAACGGTTACATCGAATAGTGGCAGTGAAGGACGTGATAAGTTTAATGCAACAAGAAGGAATTTGACATACCAGGTCCTATTTAATTAAATGTTTCTGCTGTGTAGGGTTGTTTGTTATCTTGCTTTTAATTATAAACGACAAACACTCCAATATACATTTATTTAAACTTTTGTTTATTACTATTATACATACACCTTTTAAAAGAGACCATAATTACATTCTTTAACGATAATTTCTGACTAAGAATTTTTGATTTTTGATTATTTATCTTTTACACATTTTTCTAAACAATATCATAACAACTTAAAGGAAAGAGTGACACCTAAATTGTTCTTCCTCTTTAGCCAGTTTATTCAAATATTCAAACGTGCATTTATTATTATTATTAGCATTATTACTAAAATTAATTCCTGCCTAAGAAGTTCAATACAACATAGGTACAGTGATACTGATTATAAGTGAAATCTAATTTATAGGAAAGAAACAGAAATATATATGCAATAAAGAAGAACATCATGTCAACAGATACCATGTATATCAACAGTTCGCGAATGCTGCCTACACGAAGTAAAAACAAGACATCTAATGCCATGTTTCCTCGTAGTAACAGCAGTTCGAGTATTAAGAACAACAGTAATAATAAACAACAAAATGGTAACAACAACAACAACAATAATAATCGTAATAAGAAACATTCTCGTAAATCGAATGATAACAAGAACTTGGATAAATTGAAAGTTCCATTACCTCAAACTTTACCAAATGGTGAAAAACCAAATTTTGGTGGCAATGCTAATTCAAAGTCAAATCCAAAACGTAGAGGTAGTCATAATGGTAACGATAAATCGACAAAAGATGTTACTAAAAATTTAAAGAATTTATTACTGGATAATAATAGTAACAACCATAATAAGAAAAACTCTACAAGAAGAAGTAATAGTAAATCTCCAAATATGCAAAATAATGTAACCACTAATAGTACAAACATATCAAGTGCTAACAAGAGCCATCCAACGAGTGCTAGTTCCCATGGATTTAAAAATCAAAATACTACTCCAATCATGACATTTCTAACGTCTCCCATTAATGGACCAGGTTCTATTCCGAACATGAATTTATCCGATCAACACTCTACTTCAAACCAACCAAGTGGTGGTAGTAGTCAAGGTAATACCCCAACCCCTGGTAGTATACCACGTGTGGGTACTCAAATATTAACAAGACCAGGTATTTCAATGGCAATGTCTAATAACGATCACGGTAATAACAAATTTCAGAATATTCCTCCGCAATCTCAACAACAGTATCCACAGGGGTTTTTGCAACAGCCTCAACAATTACAATTTCAACCTCAAATCCAGGCACAATTTCCACAACCACCGCAATATGGCTTACCAATTGGCCCAGGTATTCAGCAAAATCAATCAATGCCATTACCACCACCTAATATTCAATCATCTTTATCCCAGCATTTCCAAGGGTTAGGATATCCATTTGCATTACATAATAATTACAGATTATCTTCCGGTGATGGCCCACTACCTCAACAAATCCAAATGATGGCACCAATGTTTAACCAACAAAACATGCATCCTATGAACCACAATAACAACACGGTTCAACCGGGGCAAGCAACTATTGGCAATACTATATCACCAAATGTTACACCAACAACGTTTCGTTCAACTGAAATTTCTCCTAAGGCAAAACCTAACACAACGCAAACTTCTGCTAAAAGAAACAAGGCTAGAACTTCTAGTCATTCTTTCGCAGGTGCTTCATTTGCAACTGATGTTCCTCAGGAATCAAATTTACCAAAACCAAGTTTTTTATAGAAATATGATTGACTATTTTTTTTTCTATTTTGACTTTTTTTTTTTTTTAATAAAAAATAACTTTTTTGATATTAATATATCGACCTGATATGCTCTTAATTTAGTGACAGATTATATAATAGTGTATATAGATATACATATGACGTAACACAGATATATTTTGATGTTGAAATATTACTATTTTTTTTGTTTGTATTAAAAATGTTTAGTTATCGATGATTAGGGATTTTTAATTTCATAGATACGAAATATTACATATAATTAAATAGTGAACTGAATAATGGGGGTAAAGAAAAAACTAATAGTGAAATGAAACATATTATAAACCTTATGCAATTTACAAGACAACGTTTTGGGCCAATTTCTTCTTGTAATCCAGAATAGTACCATTCCATCTGGTGGCGGTCTTGTGTTCAACGACGAAAATATCCTTGGCAATCTTGTTCAATAATCTGAAATCGTGAGAAACCACGACAACACCACCATTGAATTCATTAATAGCATCTGCTAAAGAATCAATAGTTGGAATATCTAGACCATTGGTAGGTTCATCTAATAGTAAAACATTTGGTTGTTGTAGAGCCAATAGAGCAAAGACAACACGAGAACGTTGACCTTCAGATAGGGTACCCATTTGTACAGTTTGACCTTCACCAGTTAGACCGTAACGACCTAATTGACCTCTCCAGTATTGGAAATCTTGAGAGATATCTGGGTGCTTATCACGAACAAATTCTAAAGCAGATTTAGTTAGATCTAATTGATCTTGAGAGTGTTGGGAGTAAACACCCAATTTAACGTGAGTATGTCTAGAGACACGACCATTTTGAGCCATAAGTTCACCGGTCATGATCTTTAATAAGGTAGATTTACCAACACCATTTGGACCAACAAGAGCAATTCTAGAATCCATATCGACACCGAAGTCTAAGTTTTCATATAGGTTATGTTCTTTCTTACCATCGTAAGCGAAAGAAATAGAATCGAAAGATAGAACTGGAGGTGGTAATCTCTCGACTTCTGGGAATCTGAAAGAGAAGACTCTATCTGGAACGACAGCTTCGATCAAACCATCAGCTTCCATCTTATCCAAAATCTTTTGTCTAGATTTAGCTTGTCTAACCAAATTAGCATAAGTACCTGCAGACGCAATAAACTTCTTAATATGTTGAATTTCTTCTTGTTGCTTACTGTATTGTTTCATTTGGTTAGTTTCCAATTCAGATCTTGTCTTGTGGTAAGAATCGTAGTTACCACCATAAGCAGTTAACTTCTTTAATCTCATATCCAACATGTTTGAACAAACACCGTTCAAGAAATCTTGAGAGTGAGAAACTAGAACCAAAGTTCTGTCAAATCTCTTCAAATATTCTTCTAGCCAAACACAAGCTTCCAAATCTAAATGCGCAGTTGGGTCATCAAGTAATAACAAAGTTGGTTTAACGAAAAGGGCCTTGGCTAAAGCAACACGCATTTTCCAACCACCAGACATGTCCTTGGTCTTTTTTAGAATGGTTTGAGCATTGAAACCCAGACCAATCAAGATAACAGCAGCTCTACTTTCGAAAGTGTCTGGATCTAGAGAGTCCATTCTTTCATATAATGGTTCCAATAATTCAGATTCTGGACCATCTTCAATAATGATGTTTTCAACAAGGTCTTCCATTCTTTGTAATTCAGCTTGAGCTTCTCTGACAACATACTCTAAAGCAGAAAATTCTGTTGCAGCAGCTGGTTCATCTAATAAGTAGATATCGATATTTTCTGGAATTGGATATTCTCTAGTAGCGATAGCCTTTAAAAAAGTCGATTTACCACAACCATTTTCACCTAACAGACCATATCTTCTACCATAATTTAATTCCAGAGTAGAATCTTGAATTAAAACTTTACCATGGAATAATAGAGAGACAGAGGTTAATTTAATATCTCTAGAAGTTTCCAAAGAGGCTAGGACACCAGTAACAACACGATCGGAGATACCGTCATCATCTTGTTGTAACTTCAACTTTTCAATTTCCTTGGCTTGTTCACCAACTTCATCGACTTCTTCGTCAGTCTTCTTCTTGGATTTACGGACGGTCTTACCGGCAGCGACCTTCTTAGCGTCTCTTTCAGCCTTCTTGGCTTCTCTCTTAGCTTTAGATGCAGAAATTGGAGGCATGTTTTTCCTTATTTATTACGCTGATAAGTTATATATTCCAACAGAATTTTATAATTAACAAACTACAGAGAATTTAAATTATTACTGAATAGACTGTCATACTTGTAAGCCGATGAGTTTCCTGTTTATATACTATGAAAGAAAGACCAGAGACCCTTTTGCGATGTTCACTGCAATTAACAAATTTTTCACTTTTTTTTTCCAGTTCGTTCCTAATGATAACATAAGAGCGTGAACTATCGTATAAGATGATAAAATAGCTAATCTAAGAACAAAAAGAAAAGATATCAAGTTGAAATTTATTCATTGAATAAGATCACGAACCCTTCAAGAAATATATTGTACCTAATAAGGTTCTTCAGAGTGATTTTATAACAATTGATTTAGATTGGGAAAGGAAACTGTTGCTCAGCTATTCGGTAAATTGAGGGAAGATGAGTGTGACAATGGATATCGATGGTAATTTTGTGGGACAAGATATAGATGAGGATATAAAGAAAGAGGTTCTAGATTTACTTAGGACAAAGCCTGTCAGCGATGTCAAAGATTATTTGCTAGAAGTAAATCATAATTTGTCCACCACTGATGAAAAATTTAACAATCAATTGAAATTACATTATTCTGTTATCTTACGTGTGATTCAAAATATTGCAGTGCTGCATAGTGATCTAAGTGATGTGGATACCGAATTTAGAGAATTATGTTTTAATGATAACCTTTACCAAATTCGTAAGTTGCCTACATTTCGACCTGTTAGTTTGCCAGCCGATCATGATCCATTTGAAAGTAACAACAACGATTTACAAAACGTGACTTTAGGGATAACGAACTGGATTCTAGCTGTAACGACCTTCATTAATAGATTTGCAAATTCTAATGAAAATGGTAATTCCTTCTTCGAAGAAATGATTACACATACATTGAAACTAGGTGATAACAAGGATGATTCAAAATTTATTAGATATAAATATATCATCAAGAAAAAAGCTCTTTCTTTACAGACGTATATTGTTGATTCATTGATAGCACATACAATAACATTGAACTTAGAACAAAGTATCAGTTTATTCAACCTTTTTCATTTTACAATTCCGTTCTTCTCCTGGGATTTGTTATTGACAGAACAATATAATAACTTATTGTATGATATGATATTGGAGGATTATGATATCGAGTCATTTTACGGTGATAAAAACATAATTAATATCAAGTCCCCATCTGTGAAAGATTTCTTACAATCATCCTTATTTAAGAGTAATGTAATACAAAGATTGATTGACAATATAGAGGACCAGTTGACCCAGTTAGAGAATACTGGCAATAACAATAACACATCTGTTATAGAGGAAACTCCGAAAACTGAGAAACAGAATAAAGAAAATGATGATGAGTATGAAGATGAAGATGATATGGATAATGAAATATCAACAATTGTCAATAATTCACTTATGCAAGCAATGGGTCTTATCTATGACAATGATATCAATGAATATAATAATATTGAACAAATAATGGACCAATTGAATAACCTAAAGGACCTTAAAGCAGATTCAATAAGGGTCCAAACTTTGAAGGAAAGACTTCTAGCTTATTTGCAAGCAAAACAAAACCAACTTTCAAAGAATGGTATCGTTATGCAACCGCAAAACACCGATGAAACCGTACAGACCATTTTGCACAATTACAACATGGTCAATCTTGAAGACTTGATCAGCCAACAAATAGCGAAACTACACAATACAGCAACAGGCTAAGATAGCATCAACTTTCTTCCTTCCACGATCTCGTATCTTGTCTGAATAAACGTGCTCCATCTGGCGCTGTGAGTGTATATGATCTATATATGCGCGATGAGTAAAACCCTTAGATGTTTGTTTCTTCTATATGGCAGCACAAAGCAAAAACCATTATGTTTTTTTGTGAAGCTGCGGAGTCTCAATGAGGCAAATATTTTCTAATGACAAGGAACATGTGGGCATTGCAATTACTAATTCTATCGTCAAACAGTCATCGGTTTCACATAAGAATAAGAGTTGGTGTATGTGTTTACCATTAATTAAATAGGGTCGGTTTACATGGTTGGTTAACAA